TATGCCACCGCAGCATCTGCGATACGGTGGCATATAGCGATTCACCTGTGTGTTTGTGTGTGTGTGTGTTATATAGATTATATAGTGAACTTAAAAAATCTTCTTGTGAAAAACCACTAGTCCAATTTCAACCAAACTTGGCAGGATTGTTCCTTGGGTGAAGGGCTTCCAAAGTTGTTCAAAGAATTTCATTCCATGCAGAAATCTGGTTGCCATGGCAACCAAAAGGAATTATAAGAATAAATTTAAAAAATCTTCTTGTAAAGACCCAAAAGGCCTAGAGCTTAGATATTTTGCATAAAGCATTGTCTGGTAGACCTCTAACAAGATTGTTCAAATTATAGCCCTGAGGTCGAAATTGGCCCCGCCCCGGGGGTCATTGATTTTCACTATGTACATATAGTAAAAACTTAAAATACCTTCTTGTAAAAACCCAAAAGGCCTAGAGCTTAGATATTTTGCATAAGGCATCATCTGGTAGACCCTTACCAAGATTGTTCAAATTATAGCCCTTGGGTTAAAATCGGCCCCACCCCGGGGTCATTGATTTTCGCTATATGTACATATAGTAAAAACTTAAAACACCTTCTTGTAAAGACCCAAAAGGCCTAGACCTTAGATATTTTGCATAAGGCATTGTCTGGTAGACCTCTACCCAGATTGTTCAAATTATAGCCCTGGGGTCAAAATCGGCCCCGCCCCAGGGGTCATTGGTTTTCCTTATATGTATATAGTAAAAACTTTAAAAAAAATCTTTTAGCAATTGACAAATGCTAGACGTTAGATATTTTGCATGAAACATTGTGTTTTAAACCTCTAGCAAGATTGTTCAAATTATAGCCCTTGGGTCAAAATCGCCCCCACCCTGGGGGTCATTGATTTCAATATATACATATAGTAAAAAATCAAAAAAAATCTTATTGTCTGAAGGTACAAGGCTAAGAGCTTTCATATTTGTTAAATAATATCATCTAAAGGTACCCTACCAAAGTTGTTCAAATTTTGCCTCTTGTGTCAAAATTAGCCCCGCCCCTGGGAGCCATAGGTTTATCTTCTATGTATATAGTTAAAACTTAAAAAATCATCTTCTCTAAATTTACAAAGGATAGAGTTAAGATATTTTGCATGAAACATTGTGTAGTGAACCTCTAGCAAGATTGTTCAAATTATAGCCCTGGGGTCAACATTGGTTCCGCCCCGGGGGTCATTGATTTTCATTATGTACATATAGTGAGAAAAAAAAATTTTGTCTGAAGGTTCAAGGCATAGAGCTTTGATGTTTGATATATAACATCATCTATAGGTCCTCTACCAAAGTTGTTCAAATGTCAAAAATTGGCCCTGCCCGGGGGCAGTGATTCTCATTATGTACACGTAGTAAAAACAGAAAATAAAACAAATGTTTACTTAATGGGAGAAAGCTATAGCTTAGATATTTGACTTAAAATGTTGCTTGGTGGACCTGTATCAAGATTGTTATTAAACCCTTGGGTCAAAATTATGTCTTGCCCAAGGGGACAGTGACCTACTTTCTTGTCCTTTGATGTACAGCAATGACATTTTGACCATGTGCACAGTTTTAGTTGTAAATTGAATTTTGACCTAGATTTTGATGATGTGACCTACTTTCTTGTCCTTTGATGTACAGCTATGAAATTTGAACCATGCGGTGGCATAGCATTTTTCTCAAATGCAATCTTGTTTTATCTTGTTAAGAAATCTCAAACTTTTTGGGTTTGTTTACCTGTTTTGAGGGGATACTCGTATGCTATATATTTGCAATAATAAATAAATATTAACCAACTAAAATTTTTCTTTGTTTCTTTTATATCTTTTTGCTATAGTTTACAAGCACAAAGTCCACATATTAGTGACAGGCGTGAAATCTGTACAGGTTAAAAAGTTTTTCTTGATAATAAGTTATATACACATGTAGTTAAAATTAAGCTTATTTATGAGTTGCTGTCCCTTTGCCTTTATTTTGCTTTTAGATTTTATGTACACTCCATATATTGGTATATTAATTGGAAAGAAACAAAAATGAATAGGTCTCTATCTCAGTTTATACCTTAGACTGCTGACTGCTACAAAATATGTACATGTGGCCATTGTGAACCAAGATCTGTTGGCACGTCCGTAAAGTCTAACCATGGTCCGCACTGTTCGCTTTACATTCAGTACATATTTTGAAATTCTCCCTAAAAAGATGAAGTGTTGTCCAAGTTGAAGATGGGCAGGTCCATTTAAAATATTTGGCGTGACCCATTGTGAATCTACTATTAAATAGGGTCAATTCTGCAGATTCCAGACGACTATCATGGTAAATACCTGATGTTTAGATTGAATATTACTATTATGCCGATGGTAGAACACACGAGAGACGTCGATTTTTCCATTATCTTCCATGGGCATTTTCAATAATTGTCTAGCTTTACACGTTTTATTTTTGTTGTCATTGCCCATTCCAGGTTTTATGCTCCCCATATTCGTGCCACTTTTTCGACTCCGTAAAAACGGTTATGCACGGGATTGTATATATTTAGATGTGACGTCATTTGCGTTATATAAACATAGCGTAAAGACGCGTCAGAAGCTCGCATAATATAATTATAATATTTACCTCGCTCAATAACTAGACTAATTCAATATCATCTAATAAATAAAGTGGTGAACATTGTTCAGGTATTTTGGACTGACAAGAAACTTTGCATCTTGTATACTGTATAAGTGTACACATTATAATGTGAAATGTATAAATTGTTACCATATTAACCTATAATTTAAATCAAGCCTGCAAAGATTCCATTTCAAGAAGTAGACACATACTGATTCATTTATAAATCTGACTCGCAATAAAATTTAATTGAGCGACCTGCGGATAATTTTTTGCTAATATTGCGTTAGGACTCTACCTAAAATTCGTCAATATTATAGTTGATTCAGCGCAGGGTAACCCGATCCTAAATCATTTAAGAGAAGGATTTTTTTTATATATATTTAAGAACAAGCCTCTGCTTCATTAGTTTTCTAATATTTATTGTTATGAAACAGAACAAAGGTTTTCATTATAACCGCCCGTTATTTGATACAATACTTGGGGTGTGAGCGATGCGAGACCAAATGGTTAAGTTATAAATCAATGTAAATCTGATTTTTAAAAACAATATTATATTATATTAAGTTGTTCCTGTTCACAGCTAAAATCTTGGCGAACAACATTTATATAAGGAGTCGGTATTAGGCATTTTTTAGTTTATTTGAAACAATAACTTCTAAATAATGTACTGAAAGAACCCGCTATTTCTCTTACTTTTGTGACTTTGAAACAAATATAGTTAACGGTTAGTTTGAGCTTATTAAAATGTGGAGAAATAAACGGAAATTTATCATAAATCATATCAAGAAAGAACGGAAAGATATTTCCAAATGGTTCCTTATCCCAGGAAGCGTCCTGTGCGGAATTTCTATATTAATGTCTGTCCTGGCCGTCTCTTTACCGTACTGGGTTAGCGTAAACGATGTGATGGAGACCACCGTCGCCGGACTGACGGATGACACGGATGTGACGTATTTTTACGGGTTGCTAAGATACTGCTTGAAGATGAAAGCTACTCATCTTGATACAGATGAATGTAAGGCCAAGGACTACTCGTCGTTAACTGGTAAGTTAAAATTCTGATTCTAGTTCATCGTCATTTTGCCAGCACATTATGTACGAGTACATGTAGATCTAGTTAATTCCAGTCAGCGTTTGTTCTTTGAAATATAGGCAATGCCGTCATTTTGCCATTTAAGCCGTAAAACATACTGTTTCAAGTATGTTCAGGTATTTCGGACTGACAATAAACTTTGTCATTGAACGCCGCCTTTCCTTGTTGATCTTGTTTATAATAGTCTTTAAGACACCTATAGCGCATATCTCCAGAACCACTTTATTATTTTAACCAATGGTCCCAAAATGGGACTCTTGTACCTTGCCCGATTTCAATTTCGTTACATTCTGCAAAACCGCAGACGCTGACTTTTTTCATTTTTCTTAATTAACATAATAATTTGAATAATTCAGATATCATTATATCTTTTTTCATCAGGTTGGGAACAGACGACATTAATTACATTCATTGTTTCTATTGTGCTTAATGCTGTCGCCATCGTGAATGTGATTTTAAATCGCCGATGTTGGAACATGTTATTTCTACTTATTGGGGCAACACTATTGGCATTGGCCTCAGGTATGAAAGTTTAGTACACAATGTAAATTAGAAACTTCTAAATCTTAAAGCTGCAACATGATAACCCGTATATATTCTTCTTTTATGTTTCTAACCCATTTCACACAATTATTTATACGACAAAAAATTATTCTAAATTTTACCAAATGAACGGCCAGCTGTGAATGCGCGAAATCTGTTAAATTGGAATGAATCTTTTGTGTTCAGTTTTCTTAGGAAACTTATTATTTTAGTGTGTTTTGATAGTTTAAAACTCATATCAAGCATATGAATACAGCGTGATTTTTAATTTGAAAAAAAATGAAGGACATTTCGCCGATTACAGCTTTTAATTTTTTATGTAAATATTCTGGACAGGTGCTTGTCAAGCAGTCGGGGTGTCACTGTACCAGATCAAAGCTTCCGTCCTTGTCCTAGACATTGGTGGATTAACTACGGCAAATTTCAAACCAGAATTTTTCGGTGCAGCATTCTGGTTCGCGTTCCTCAGTGCTGTAGGCTCTATGACGGCTGGTCTGCTCCTGATGTTAGGAACATTTACATGGAAGAGGCCAAAAATAATGCGCAAGGTACATTATAAATCTGTCATTTTTTGACTTTGGGTAGCGTTTGCAAATTGACTTCAGACGTATACATATCTCCAATTTATTGGCAAAATTGAACATATAGAGCTAGCGGTATACAATATGTTGATACAATTTTAGGTTGACTGTTCTGAAAAAGAGTTAAACTTTAAACTAAAATCATGCTATATATTTCTATTACAGAACATGTACAAGACAACAGTTCGAGCTCCAGTCTGTCCGTACAAAGGCCGCCGTCCAGCTCTAATATCTATAACCAACATGTGAACTTATAACCAAATGTTAAGGATAAAACTTTCATTTATAACAACAAATTTGTCGAGTAATACTACATTTGTACATCCACAGTTGAAGAGAAATTATTTTAAAAAAACAACACTTTTTATAGAATACAAGCGTGTACAAAGTTACCAAAAGCGCAATAAACCCACAGAAGGAGGCTATAGTAATAATTACGCCTGTGAATTCTGGGGTTGCAGGGTCACAAACTACATTTAACTTCAGAGAAACAAATACAATACATTCACTTTTAGAGTTGTGTGTGTGCGTGCGTGCGTGTGTGCGTGCGTGTGTAGAAATTCATTGGGATGTTATCAAACAATCGTTTGCATCTATTTTGAAACGGAATTCAATGCAGTAACTTTCAATGTGGGTGGCTAAAATGGTTACCTTTATATTTTGGAAGTTTAAATTATTTATTATGTATCTATTAATATATCAACAAGCATGCATAACTTCTACTAAAGTAAAATATATAATTTCATTAATTTGTACTTAAAGCAGCATGTCAATTTTCACATACATTTCTAAAATGTATTAAAAAGTTAAATATTGTCAAGTGAACAAAGAAAGTAATTTACACATTGCAAACGGAACTAAATATCTACGAAAATTAACAAAAAAGCTGGTCCGAACAGCAAAAATAGCACATACTGCGATAGTCGCGCAGTAGAAATATGGTGATAAATACTGCAAAATAAGTATTGAATTTATCATATTGTGAATATTTTTTATCTTTGTACACTTTTCTCAAGATTGATTTTCTTGATATATTTTGGTTCATCAGATCTGGAGGCATGCAACTTTAATATAACACAAGTTTCAATAATGGAAATTTGATTGAAACAGTTTTATTAGTTTCGTAAAACTATTTTATGAAAAAATACATTTGCGGTATCTTTTCATTTTGAAACAAATGTTATTGGTACATGTAATTATTATTTACTGCTCACTTTCTTTGTCTGATTAAGATATGCAGATGTCTTGATAAATAAAAACTTTCCAACAATTTTCAGTCAAGTCTTTTTTCTCTCTAAATTCATAAATACATAACCTATCGAACTTTGTATATTTTACAAAATTAGCTAATAAGTGAATGACGTTTTATTTTTCCAATCGAATGCACAATTTTAGTTGATACATATAGACTGTATTGCGTGTGGATTTCTTATTAATAATAATAATTGTTCAGTTTGGTAAAGCTTTGTATAGTTTGTTGCACAATTCATAGTGAAATATCTTAACAAACATCGGCGGGATAAAGCACGTGGGATTTAATTGGTAGGAGTGGTTCTGAATATGCGCTTTTCCCGCCCAATTAATATTTATTTTTCCGCTATAACTGTTTTAATATAACACTCGAAAGAAAATTATCAATAAAATTTCAACAAACCGAGCCTTTAAACTTTAAGTTTTCACATAATTATTTATAATTACACAAACGTAAATCGAGCGTTATTATATTTATTGGGAATGTCTCTAGTTGGGTGTATACACTTCTCATTGTTCAAATACTTTCTTGACAGAATCAATCAAGAAGCAAACAAGTTCGATTGTCCACAGTATATCAGATTTCATGTTAGTGAAATGAGCCGCGTCACGGCAAAACCAACATAGTGCGTTTGCGACCAGCATGGATCCAGACCAGCCTGCGCATCCGCGCAGTCTGATCAGGATCCATGTTGTTCGCTAACCAATCCTATTACAAGTAGAGAAACTGATAGCGAACAGCATGGATCCTGATCAGACTGCGCGGATGCGCAGGCTGGTCTGGATCCATGCTGGTCGCAAACGCACTAAAAAAAAAAAAAAAAAAAAAAAAAAAAAAAAAAATGTTGTTTTGTTTTAGTCGTGACGCGGCTCAAATCATCCAATAAAATATCGTGTTATTATGATGGAAGATGTATACTTGTAGCATAGGAACGCGGTATTCAAAATATTTTATTTTTTGTATTTTCTTTCTTTATTTGTTAGTGTAAAAAATGAAATTATCTCTGAATTGATTTGAACTTGAAAAGATAAGATTTTACATACGTGAAAAAAGACTTAATTTTGATTTTTATAGAAAATAACCGAAAGCTCGACATAAATAAGGTTATTTTTAATACGATATTGGATATCAAAGGCTGCTTGAAATAAGAGAGTGAATGTCTGTTTAACACGTAGTTTCATTATGCCCCTTGTGGACAAGTCAAATACGTATACTGGGGTCGGAGTCGGGGCCTCTGGTGTAGGTAGTTTGGTTTCGATCCTGGCGTTTGCGCTTCCATATTGGATTTATTACGATGAGGACCTAACTCTCACTGACGGAACCGGAAGTCATCAAGTTCAGTGGACGTACTATTATGGTTTCTGGAAATTCTGTAATAAAGTGTCGTCTGATGTGTCGAACTCAGATAGATGTGGAAGTGTCGAGTCACATTCAGGTATCAACGTGTTTATTAACATGTTTATAAATACGTCTACATTTTCTAATATGTCTAACTAGAATAAAGGTGATTAAAAGCATAATGAAATGCAAAACTGCATATAGTAGAAATTTTAGTGATGGGGAAAATTTTCAAAATAAGTAAACGTCTATGGTTACCAAGTACTGTAATAGTAAACGTAATGCAATGAAGTCAAATAGCATTAGAGCCCTTCCTATAGTTTGTTTTTGAGCCTACCGTTGTAGCTCGGTGCCATACTGTTTATTTCAATGCTTAGTAGCTTATTTCGTTTTTTTTGTTGTTGATTCTTTGGGGGGATGGGGGTGTGGGGGGTCTCCAGTCAATATAATTGTATCCCTTAACTGAATATTACTCATCGTCTCTTAGTATAATAAATACCGATTTTTTTTTCTTTTTCAAGTATCGCGCTTGACAAAGAACAAAATTCTGAAAAAGAACAAAATTAGATCTTCTTGAAAATTGCTTAATTATTTCAGATGTTGAGCAGACAACAGCATGTCTTCTGCTACTTGCCATTCTATTATTTGTAAGCGGTGTTGCTAATGGTTGCCTGTACCTGACCATATTTAAGAAAGAAAAGCTATGTCTCTACATAACTTGGATATCTGTGGTAGCAGCGGGTAAGATCATTGCCTTTACCCTTTTCACCATTTTCGTTTAAAATAAATAGATTCAAGACGATAATGTCACAAGTGACATATATGAAAGTTTAAGATAGGGTCGCACTGATCAATATAAAAAAAAATCAGAAAGTCATTTACAATGACAAAGTGATCCTTCATTCATAGTCAGAAAGCATGCCGACTTATAATCTAGGCAAACAGCTACTTGATTCAATGCCTTTTTTAAGAGTCATGTTGAAATGAAACACGTTGAAGATACTTTTTAGTCAATATGCCCGAGTCCTGGCCCATGCATGTCTACCTGTCAACAAATAATTCACGAGTTCGAGCCAAATACAGGTCAATACCTCGCCTAGCTTATGTGATACTAGTTTTGGTTAGTTTAGGAAGCGGATTCGAAAAGGTTACAGTTATGTCATTCGGGCTATATAAATACAACTTTGAAATTTAACCAACTCTTTAAATTAATTAACGCTTAATCTATGTACAAACCCTTAATCTATATACATGTACGGACAAGATTTTAACTAGAATGAAAGGATACATTGTATATGTATGTATGCATTCCAGATGAAATTATATTTTAATTTGGAGATTTTTTTATATTATTTTCATTGAATGGTAATTATTAAAAAGTATTAATTTTATGAGGTGAACGCCCAGTGAAATGTTGAAAGTTTATAAAATCCGAAATTATTCATTTGTGATAAACATCGTCTTTATTGGTTTCGTCCGTGATTGTTAGATTTGAAATAAAGTTATTGGCTTTTAAGTACCATTCAGATAGTGTACCAATAAACTGGAGTGACTTACATAATAAAACCGACCTTTTGATCATTAAATTAATATTCAACTCAAGAGAACATATTAAAATATTAAAGAAGGCAAAGGTATAAAGTTTTAACACCTAAAATATACAAGATAATCTGAAAATTGCTAAAACTGAAATTACAAAACAATACTTTGCACCCCACCCCACCACATAGCCTCCTCCCAAAGTATAGAGCTGGACCAGTGCAGAGTATCTGTGGAGTCTAACTAGACTTATACACTGTACTTTGATAAACATCTTAAAAATGGGTACGGTGGCTTAGTGGTTAAGGTATCTTGTTTTCAACTCAGAAACCGTGGGTTCGAGCCCTGCAGGGGTCATACCTTTTTTCTTCATATTATTTTTTCCTATAAAATGTATCTTTTTGATAACTTTAAAATGTTATTATTTTATATATATTTTCATTTTTTTTAAATTTTTTCAAATCAATCTTTTTAAAATTGGGAATAAACAAAGTCCTTTTTCATTTGGGGCCCTCTGTTACATTGTAAATACTTTTCTGAAAAAAAAACTTGATTATTTTTTTCCCAGGGAAATCCTCCCCAGTGACAAGAAAATACTTTTTTTGGGAAACAGAAGGAAACCATTCGTGAATTTTTATGGTTTTATATTACACTAAAAATTTTACTTCCCCCAAAAATTGCATCCCTTCCCTTTCTGGCTGTTGTTGGTTTCCTGTCTATTTTTTTGGGCCAAGAAAAACACTATTTTTTCCAACGGGCTTTTTAATAAGTTTTTTCACAGAACAGAAAGGGCGACCAGATACAGAAAAAGCCCTATGATTTCTTATGGATCAGTGCATAAAAACCAACCGAATAATCTTCGAGACGATCAAGATATTCCAGAAGATTACAGTTATATCAACTCGAAAGTTCCCAAAACTTTCCCAATAAAACAAAACTCCCCTTTTAATCAAACATAAATCAGAATCAATCGTGTTTTTACAAAGGTTCTTTTGATTCCGATGATAGTGATATTGTTTCCAAAAGTTTGCAAAGGGGTTTTTTAAGGTGAAAGCCCACCCCAAAAAAAACCCAGTTTGGGGAAACCAAAATAAAATGACGAAAATTTTTAAAAAACACAAAGGGGGTAAATCGGGAAAAACCACTAACCCCATTTTTAAAGATTCGAGGGAGGGCCGTTACCAAAAAGCAGAAAGGATAAAACACCCCACAAAAGTGAATTTGGCCTCTACTTTAAACCTTAAAACGAAAAAAGGAATCAGGGGGGATATTGAGGGCGTTTGCCGGGAAATCCCCCTATACCCCAAAACGGACTTGGGCCATTTTTGAAAAAAGGCAAAGCCCCAAAAAATCGCAAACCTAAAGGGTTCCCCGCCCCGGGGGCTTATGATAGGGGGGATGCGTTCATACTTCGACGAGTTAAAACCCAGGGGTTTTGCCGTTCACGCAGAGGAATGAAGGGGCTTGCTATTAGCCGGAACCGGAGAAAAAAATAAAGATGAAAATAACAACTTCAAGTTAGAGCAAAAAAATAAAAACTGAAATACATCGAGGCATTCTTCGCAAACATAGGCACAAATCTTTCCCCAAAGAAACCGGGGCAAAGTCAAAGCGGAAACGAAGACAACCTTCAGAACTACAGCTCAGACGGGTCCGCGAAATGACAGATGTTTATAGCGCTTCACCATCGGTTCAAGCAATATATCCCCCACACCAGTCACACAAGTCTGCCCCCTGGAACAGCGCTCGTTCAAGGCCGAAAACATCAACCTTGCTGAAGTGGTCATTGCATGCGTATGGGGTTGAGTCTATCCCAAAACTTCCAAAACATTTAAAGTCACCAATGAGGAGTGGAACGGAATCCGTCACACTTGAGGATCGTGAAATAAATGGAAAGAACTGTTCCAATGCGTAAAAATACTTAACTTTATACGTGAAACAAATTTGATATACTAGTATATTAGACGATATTTAAATTGGTGCTTGCCGTTCTGTTTACGTAGGAAAAATTATATTTACTAACCACAATGTACACACTTTTCGCATGCATAATAATTATATCATTTTAATTTTTTTTTAATAATAAAGTTTTCGTGACAATAAACGCTATTTCTATTACATAAGATGTAAAAAAAACATGTAAAAATGCTGCTACTGCTGTTTTGATTTTATTTTGGGTTAAGTTCTAGTTTACAAAGCACCTGTGCTTCATTCACATCAATGATAGTCACCTAGTTTATATAAATGTAGGAGTGCTTTCTTTTTCAAAAGGACTATGTGTTAACTTATATAAAACTTTGTACAAAACTATGTACAATCAAAGCACAGAAGGCGCTGAATTTGTTTGGGTCTCAGAATGTAAGAAAGGTGAAGGTTGTGAGATTATAAACCAATTTGTTTGGTAAGTGTCACCAAATTCTGTTTCCAGTGTTATAACTATAGTAAATTGGCTATAAGACTAATTGCAACACTGACATTCAATTCAATGTTAAAACAAAAATAAAAACAAAAAAAAACATGAGTTGCCTAAACTGGGATTTTGAACTCCGGACCTCTTGCTTCTAAAGCGAGCGTGTAAATCACTCAACTAGGGCGAGTTATGAGATAATAGCCTAAAGAATACCATATTATTCTTAATTAGAGTTTGTAACCCTTATTAATTTCGATATATTTTTTGTTTCACGGTGAAACCATTGTTTAAACTGAAGTAAAATAAACATTTGGAGGCTGAATATATTGCATGTATATCTATAAAGAATAATACAATATTAGAAATCTTCGACCAATCGGGAACTATTTTTTCGTTACGAAAATTAATGAGCCTGTCATTTGACAATCTTCGCGCAATGATCTCCCCCTAATTTTTCGGCGTTAATGTACATATGAAGCGAAATAACCGTTTCGAGGAGTTTGGACTACTTTCGGCATTTGCAAATAAGAACATCTTGGTCTGACGACCCAAACAAATAAAAACTAGCCCGTTTCCTCTACTTTGCTCAATACGGAGAGCATACAAGGGTTGCTGGTCCAAGCCTCGGGCGGGAAGTAATTTCTCTGTGACAACTGATCTCGGAAACTTGTTTAAAATGTTGTAGACTGTGTTGATATGGACGGTCATGGACAATGCATGCTGTTGTCCATGTTTTATTTGTCCTTAATAAAGTACAGCTAACATTACGTAATGTGATGATAAGATAATATCGGTCTCAGCAGTCTTTTTCGAATATTTAACACCGGTTTGGAGTTTTGGTGTTTTGGTGCGTAAGAAGAATTGACCACGAAGGCCGATATCATTTCGAACGAAGATCACTTAAGCATTTTCTGCCGATTTTCTTATAACGCTGTTCAAATTTCGCACTCTACTGTCGCTAAGATATAGAAATTATTAAACAAAAGAAATAATAAAAATTTAACAATTTTTTAACAATTTAAAATTACGTGGTAGACTGGATTATTATTCTGCCAGCCCATCTGTACTTTGATTTGCTATACCTCGTACCTGGCGCAATGTAGAAACAGTGTCCCAGTAGTTGTTAGATGACATCGCACTAGCACTTGAAAAGCCTGGCACAATCAATGTTTCCTTTATACGAAATACAGGTAACGAAATACGGAATTACCAACTAAGACTTCTACTTAAAGGCAAGAATAGCGCTAATGAACCATTTCCCGTGCATTAAAACCTGCGGGCTCGGGCTTTAAATGCGTCCTCGTGTTTCTATACTCTTTATAAGAGATTTTCAGCTTGTACGGATAACGATAGCCGGAGACGAACAACGGATAAAATATTCGGGGGTTATCTCAAAATATTTACTATTCTAATGAATAACCATACAGTAAGTTCTATAACCTTAGATAAGTTCAAATACATGCAATGCTTGGACGAACATTACTTTTATGAATATATCCACACACTAGAAATTGTTATGTAACGTTTAATCTCTGCTATACCGTGTTATTCGTTTAGGACCCTATTTACGGCGTATTTGATCTGACGTGTATGGGGTCTTTATATGGTCATACGTGGGATAAATTTTTCGACAAGTTCAACGCATTCTTCTGGAAATGCAAAATCAGTGCTGATCTCATAAAACATGTGATACTGCTGGGCATCGTTTTGGTGACCAAGAAACCTACTTCGTATATATCTTATAGTATCATGACGATGTCTCCAATATAACAGCATTCATAGGCCTATTGATTTCATGAGAAAATCCGGAAACGCAACCTTATTTCCATAGCATAATCACAATCGGCACTGATATGTTGAACAATGACGACAACATCATAAACTTCTGGTATGTTCGAAACCACATAAGCACAAGAAGAACTCTGTTTCTTGCAGACAGTTTATGAAGTACGAAGAGTTTCTAACAGATTTAGAAATGTCTTTCCCTGGTCACTTGGAAGAACTGGTACATTGTACCGATGTGAAGAGATAAAAGAAAACACATTTCTACCACTATAAATGTCTTTAACGATTCAAAAAAAGTCTATAACTTATATTTAGTGTCGGGTTAGGCGTTGGTCGAATGAATTATAAATCATGTAAATAAGTTCAAACTTCAACTTCAAAGTAATTGGTGATGTCGGGGGATCCTTTAATAAGTCGGTAAAATTTAACTTATTGTTCTGATTGATTCATTGTTCATTGTTACCTAAAACAATTATTTTTTCAACATTTATTTTGATTCGAAATAAAAAATGTGTTGAAATATGTTAATCCATACTTCATAAAGTACTATTATCTTTTTGCACGGGGTTCACGTGAGCAATGTAACATAAGTTTTTGTCGATAATTTATATCAAAAGTAAGGGGGAGAAAAAACATCAACAGACATAACAAAACATTTTATCTCTAATTATCACACTATAATTCATTTTCTGCTTCTCTGATCGGTTTACACTTTAATTTTTGTTATCTATTTATGCTATGGCGCAATCTTCAGAATGCCGGGGTCGACACGAAAAAAACACGAGGCCAGTCAAGTATAGCATGTCAGTCACACCAGAATACCCAGCAAACAAAAGACGTTGTACCAACGTTGTACTGACGTTAGACCCTGACGTTGGGTAAACGTTGGCAGAAGGTTGGATTTGAAAGTTTTTTAGACGTCAGAAACCGACGTCTATACAACGTCATAAAATGACCATTATCCAACCTTTTCTGACCATAATCCAACCTTATCTGACCATAATCCAACATTTTCTGACTATTATTTGGACATAATCCAACCTTTTTCTGACCATAATCCAACCTTTTCTGACCATTATCTGACCATATGCCAACCTTATCTGACCAAATTTTCTGACCATGATTTAACCTCATTCCAAACTTTTAGAATATGATTTTTTTTCATTTTGAAGCTCTTTAATAGGGTTAATAAATAAGCATTCTTATAATTTTAGCAATTTATTTTATACTCGGAATCACAAGTACATAACAAGAAATGTGGTACTATAACAAATGCAAGATTTACATAATATTTTTTGAAACTATTAAGCTTGACGGTATGTACTTTAATAACGCTTCATGTATTAATTAAGCATGTTTTAGAAATAAGATAAACAAAATCCTTCTTGAATATTAACACTGACATTTTATATAGCAAACATCCATGCATGTGTTTTTTCTTATATCACCACTGAACTGATCACTCTGAGTTTGGGATTTTTCAATCATCTATCCAACTCACTGATTGTATATTTGTCTTTGTATTTTATAACTGAATCTAGATCTGAATGTTAAATGGAACAATATTCTGAATATTTTGTTTTAACTATAAATAGCAATGTTCATGTATCTTCATTAGTATTCTAGCTTCTTTCGTCCTCCTACACTTTGTCGATCTGGGGCATACTTTAAGCGTATCATTACCGTCTCCAACCTGAGATCTCATCACACTTTCTGAAATTAAAAAAAAATAAAATAATCAGTTACAAGTGCAAGAAATAAATCACTTATACATATTATAATTAAACGAAATTCTAACAAACTACTTAAAAAGATACTTATTACTTTTAATTTAGTTTAAACCATGTAGTTTCGTGTACCTACTGTATATATCTATTAATTTTGATAAAAATGGCTTCGTGAATTTCATTATAAAATCAAGGGTAATTAGATCACTGTATTTTCTATAATATTTTGAAATATACCTGTCTCAAAATCTTGGTAGGTTTTCATTTTTCTTTTCCTCTAAATATTTTCATCTTCCTCCTGAACATTTGACACAAGTTGAATTATCATAATCTTCACAATCTGAAAGACGAAATATAATCGTTTTAGAATTAACCATGTGGTGGAAGGATGTTTGTCTAATACAATAGGCAAAATCCAATTACTATTAATCTTAGTTAACTCATAAGCGCATGAAAAACTGATATATAACAAATACCAAAATGAAATTAATTCTACTCCCGCAAAAATTTATATTGTTATTTTTTATATTCAATGTACTTTGTACAAATGCTCATACAACATCAAAGAAATTCACATGTTACTGTCATTTTTATAGATATCATCTCTGCCCAGCATGATCTGGTCTGCTAAGTGTATATAGGACAGATTGGCTTAGTGTAAAAACGTTTTATGATACGAGCATACAACTTGTTGATAAGGGTGTTTGGACTTTACACCTCCTGGATGTTTCACCCCTGGACGTTTCACCCTCAAAACCCTGGTCTTTTCACCTCCACTTTTTAAATTTGATAAATATATGAAGTAAATACCATTATGGGTTATAATTGATTAGTCTGAAATGTTTTATATTATTATAGATTTTCAATATTTTGTATTATATACACACAGTATTATATAAAAGAAAATTCAATGTTAGTACATTTTATTTTATTTACTTACATGATTTTTAATATTTTAACTTTTTTTTACAAGAGAGTATTTTTCTATTAAAGTATTTTATTTGAAATAATTGGTAATAAATTCATTCTAGCTTGATTTTTTTAAAGCATTTTCAGCAAGTTTTTGTAATAGATTTATCTTAATGAATAAAAAAGACAAAAAATGAAAATGACAAAATGATAGTTGAATATTTAGAATAAAATATTTAGAATAAAATATGATACCATTTTTATTTTATACTTATTATTTTTTTATAAAATAGGAAATAAAATTATATGATGAAAATAACAGTGTTTATTTTAATGTTATGTTATTGTAAAGTGCATACATTGTAGATATTGTAGTTGACTCTGAATAAAATTTAGTAAATCTGATAATTTTGTTTTATCTGTTTTTCATACATTGATACATATATTAGGTAAATTTTATTTGAACAAGAATGTCATTTTTTAAATAAAATTTCTTAATTATAAATTTCAAAAAACAAATATTCTCTCAATGTCTATCATGCAAATTTATATGATATTGAGTTATCTCAATTATCACTCAATATAATCCAATTAAGGGTAACAACTAAGGTATGTCAAACAAGTTTACTGATATTTATCCATACAGTATACAATAATATTTATAAAAAAAGTAGCCAAGTCAAGTCAAGTCAAATTTCCTTTATTACACAAATTTCATGTTAACATGAATAAATGTGGTTAGTAATAAATGCAATGTTAGTAGAGGCTCTTTAAACATATGTACAATGTATATATAATTTCAGTGGTAAAATAATTCGTAAAAAGAGTATTTGTTCATATCATTTGCTGAACTGCAGTACGTTCAATTAACAATTATGTATCAAAACCACAAATTGTTAAATTTCTTAGTAAATATGTTACCACAAAAAAAATGTCTAGGAGGTGTAAAGACCAAAGATGAAACGTCCAGGAGGTGTAAAGACCAAAGGTGAAAAGTCCAGGAGGTGTAAAGTCCTGAAATCTTGATAAGCAGGCTAATTAACAAACTATTACTTTTATTGATTTATAACTATGATAATGTGTTTTCTGATTGATAAAATGTTGTTTGATTACATTAGTAAAAAGATAGCTAGTCAAATACAATGTGCTTTCAGATATATCTTACCAAAGTCGTATCATTTACATGTATCAAATGCCATGAATCATTATCATAATATAAGAAACACATGGTATGCTAACAGTATGGGTAAAGTACTTCAATTAACAACGAGTAGTTTAACAACTACACAGATATCAAAATCAAACTGCATCTGATACATGTGTAAATGATTGGCCCCTCATATAAGGGAAATTCACGTTGATAAGTAATGAGGAAATTTTATTTACCAGCATTTGAATAATGAGAGTCTTACGTACTGGTTTTAACGTTTTATTGAGTTCAATTGCTAGGATATTTCCTACCATTGATTGTGCATTTATTTGGGATGGCGATATAGTGTGGGAAAAATGATCCGATAATACAGACTGTTCTATAGCAAATGATGAAGTGTTCTTACGTGGAAACAAAAATATTTATCTCGCGAAATCACGTTACATTAAGTTTTACCAGTCAAACATTTCAATGATCAAATAACCATCGAATCCATGCAAACATGCGGTAAATTAGCATTGAAAAACAATATATAATGTTTGCCTACCTTTTTCTTTTGTTTGGAATATACAACTTTGTCTGTCAACCCGTCGTTTTTTTGTCCGCCAATACAATTGAATTTCAAATCCGATAAGTCGCAAATTCGAATTTACTAAATTATTTACCACTATAAAATGAAGCCCTCAAAAATGATAACAGCTTCATTGTAAATTATATAAACATTTCTTAAACTAATTCGAGGAGATAAGATATTATTTAAACGAAAATAGAGCAAATATATTTCATACTGATCTGCGACTATCCGTTTACAGAGCGCCACCTATCGAATATCGTACGTTAGCCACCCACGTGATACTGTTGTTTTGATGGAGAAAATAAATATATAATGTTCCCTTTCTAAACTTAAACTTAAAATTCTCGCTGTTTATGCTTTAATTTATATATATATTGGTTTCATAAATTAAATTCACCTTTTGTCAGATTACCGACCAAAACCCGACGTCGAGTCGACGTCAAAATGAAACGTCTGCTAGACGTCGGGGATTCAACGTCGATTTGACGTTGTATGAAGGTCACCGACGTCGCGACCAAAATTCAACGTTGATCCAACGTTGGGTCAACGTCGGGTGTTTGCTGGGTACATGATAATCAAACAGGAACATCAGCTGATTTTAGGGGAAACATTGCTAATGGACTTTCAACGTCGCAAGAAGAACCCCCCACACAATGAGTCGGAGAAGAAGAAAGAGGCCGTTTGCTGACATGATTAGGGAAAGTCAATTATTATACAACGATTTTATTAAAAACAAAGTTCCAAGATTGCTCCGCCAGCTTGGTGTCGAGAAATCTTCTGATGAATCAAATTAAATATTCAGAAAATACTTATGAAGGGCTTTTTGTAGTAGAAATAACTGCAGTCATTCAATTTGGCTTGGCCTTTTGTTATCTTTTTTTCTTTAAAAAGAAATCATTTTGAAACGCTCCCTTAAAAAAATACCTCACGTAAACTTTTAATACACCAAATTTGCGTCAATGGGTTTTTTATTTTCCCCACCATTATCCCTAAAAATTCCAACCTGGTAATTTTTCCCCTAGGGGGGTAATATTATAGGCCCCCGGGGAAAATTTAAAAAAAGGTTCCTAGTTTTCTTTTTACAATAAAAAATGTTTAAAAACATATTACTGTTGATTCGGGGGGACTGGCAAGCTTTTTTGGGGGTTTTTTCTGAAACCCTTGCAATCCTAAAAAAACCGGGACTGGGAAAACTGTATGGGGTAAAATTTTCCTGTTAAGGTTTTTTTAAAGTTTTAATTCATCTTGCAAAACACCAAAAAGTTTTTTTCTACGGGGGTTTTTTCCATAACTACAGTAGAGTTGCAAACAAAAAAAAATTTATTTCATTTTTTTTTGCAGCCAAAACTTTATCCTTGATATATGGGTACTTCCTTAACAGAGACACTTAAAAAAGAATTTAAAAAAAATTGCATCGACTGGGATTTGAACTCCAGATCTCTCACACACCAGACGAGCGCATTACCCCTGCACCACGGAGAAGTTATATAAACAATGCCTGAATAAAATCTAGTGATTCTAAATTTAGAACTTCCATTGTAATCCTTACTAATTTTGAGGTATTTTGTTCAGGATAAACCTGTTGTTTAAAATTGAAGTAAATAATTTAGCGAAAATTTTCTCGCCGAAACAGTCATCTACATGTATATATTCCACTACTCGGCAGTCAGATTTATTTGTGTAGTATTCGGTAATCGACATCGCTAAAAATTTCATTGATTAAAATCAAATTCATCCGCGTAATTTGTGATTGTGCATTTATTGACAATTCTATAAGACAACGCTACTTTTAAACTTTGAATGCGTTGTAATTTGTTGGATACTTGTAACAAAATAAAAATATTTCTTTCTTTTAAATCGCTAGTTTTAAGCTGTTTTGAGAACTACTTGTTGTTAGGTTTGTCGTGAAATTCTGTGTCAGAGATTGAATGTCAGTTTGTATTTACTGACCTTCGGTCAGAAAATACAAAAAACAACACAATGTTTCCCTTGAACCAATCGCAACTACTCGGCCCTTTCCGCCAGTCTTCGGATAAGGACCTCGAACACAATAGTATGAATACACAGAACGGATACGGTATTCCGGTGTAACCTACGCTTAGAAACTAAACATGTAAACAAATAGTAATTTAATGCTGGGAGTTGTTGACAAGTTTATTTCCAATATATGTAGTTAAAGTCCACATAAAATAAGTGAATTTATAGGTACAAAAGCAAACAATACATTATTTATATATTTACTAATATGGCTGTAGAAACCGAAAGTACAAAAAAACAACCTGTTGACATTTAGTAGGATTTGTTTCAAATTGAACATCAGTGGGCATATTTAAATTACAAATTGTTGTCAGACATATTTTCAAGCAGAAGAGTACCGGAACAAACATTAGATGTCAAATATATACATTCGTTTTACATTATCTCTGTTTCTGTTTACATCTGTAAACCACGTGGTAGAACTACTTTCAATCCGTATTGTTCCGAGGTTATTATAGTAATAGCCGAGGCAGTTCCAAATGCCCTTGAACTGAACTAACACCCGAGACGGTTCTTTCAGTTCTCCGGTTGCTAATACATTTGTATACATTATTACCATGTTTTACATGTATTTTCATAATTGTGAATATTTGGTTGGCGGCGCTAGGCAGTAATGGCAAAGGATAGGGGGTAGATGAGGGGGAGAGAGAGAACAGGGTGCTACACGAAGAATGGGGAATGGGGAAGGCTTATAAGACTTTCACGCAATTCTCCTGGTAAATGGGACTTCTTAATTATTCTATTATAAAAGTGTAAAAGAAATCACAAAGTCACACATGTGAAGATGATTGCACTAAAAACTTTATAAATAAGACCGGGGTTATTTAAACATAATTCTTTTTAAAAACTCTGATTAAGCGTATGTAATAAACGAAATGTTTTGTGTCTAGTATTTCAAGAAAGTTTAAAAAAAAAACATATACATGACGAGGCTTATTTCACACTGTGCACTTTTCATCATTAATATCATTCGATCAGCTGAATTTGTAAGACAATATAACTGGTTTCTGTTTTTATTTTCTCCGTAGTTACAAATTGCATTCATTTGATATCAGGTTTTAATTCATTTGATACCACAAAATACTCACAAAACAGTAATATCAGATTGCACTATTTGAAGGTTAAATAGCAAATTATGACATACGTGGCCATCTTATAAAAGTGCAGAAATTAAACTTCAAAAATATTTACACGAAATAATTTGATTATTGAACCACATCTGAATATTGTATTTCGGAATCGATATATTGGTATTTATAAACGAGATTTACATGTACAAATTTATTGATTTTATTTTGTTGATATTCAATACAAATCGGCACTACATAAGCTTATCGTATATGGACTATTTTCCGGATCTTTTTTTACGAATTCAGTCATGTCGAAACAAGACGACGAGAACGCGACGGTGAAACTGGAAGAACAAAAGCGGAAATATATCAGTGTTTTAAATGGTTGCTTTGGATATGTTGTATATCGGTTGGTTTACTTGCGTGTTGGGTAGGAAAAGTACAGTACTATGCTGTCGGAAATACTAACGATGGTAGTGACAATATTCATAGAGACAGTAGATATAGGAGTTTTAAAGCATTTGACCAAGATCGTGATGGTTTTATTTCGGAGCCGGAGTTTGAACAAATCCATCGTCGCTTGATTAACACTCAACCAGAGGAGAGGTCTCAAATTGTAAGAAAAAGTTTCGTTATGAAGTTATTAATCAAGTTATGTTAAATAAGTAGGTAAAAAAATTACTACCTATTCTATTTATTTTATTTGGGAATATCTTGACTCATTTTGTTATTGAGAAATATTAGTATCAGAGAGGAATAAGTATAATATGATTAACAAGTAAAGGGAAGTAACAGAATCGCCAGTTTGAAATATTACTGAAAGAGTTATCTTTTCTTGATACCAGCGATGAAAGGGCTCTGGCAAAAAAAAAGAAAAAAAGGAAGAAATCTTTTCGTTTATTTTCCACAAAAAAGACCCTTTAAAGATGGATTTAGGAAAAAAAATCTAAAATAGTAGGAACATTTTATCATTCAATTTCAATGCATCCAGATTTGGCTACCTATCTGTTTAGATAATTAGTTGATTTAAAAATACATTTAAAAAAGTAGCTATATTTATAATCATTCTTTTATGATTTCTAAGGCATCAAGAGTTGAAATGTTTTGTCTTTTGTAAAATAACAACAAAATAAATTTTCCATATATATGCATGTCTTTTAAAGGTGTTAGATGAATTAAAACGTATTGAAGAGGAACAAGGAAAACTCCACGACCTTATAAATGATCTACAGTTAAAACTTACAGGTTTGTTAGATCTTAGAAAAAATTTAGTTATAGTTAATAAAAAGTTTTATTATATTATATAATATTTATACCTCTTACTTGCGCAGCAATTCTTTTCATAACTAGTGCAAAATGATTTAATAATACATGCCGTCTTTTCCAGTCGCTTAAAATGCAGTTTGCTATATAAATAGTGATGACATTATGAAAGAACGACTCCAGTTCGACATTGACCGCAACATTTTGTCGTCGTGTTATTGGGGTGCCATGGCACAACAAACACCACAGCGGCAATACGGTGGCACCATGGCGAAGCATCAAGCGGCGCCAGAACGCCTAACTGTGTCGTTATGGTGCCCTATTTTTGGCTACAAACAAATATATGATTTCAGACTCCGAGTTGGCTCAATGGGGACCCTGGAGCACGTGGAGCGACTGTTACATGAGTTGCACTGGTAAACATGGTGGTCGTTTACAGAATCGTTCAAGGGAGACAAAATCAAAGTCGGTCGTACAGGGTCATCAAAAAGAGACTGAGGAACGCCCATGCAATGCTGTACAATTCGCAGGTTGGTTATTATATTACACATGTAATTGTTTATGGAATATTATTACTAACAGTATAAACACTTCCCATTCATTTAATCATTTTTTAAATATATTTTTTCCATTAGTATTAAATATATATTCAGAATCTGAATATACGGACACTGCTAACAAAATGAAGCCGTCGCAGAAGTTACATTCCTAGTAGAAACTATTTTAGCAAGTTCTTGTAGTATATACATAACTCGCTTTTAAACACAAGTGAGTTAATGACCAAAATACGGGATTAAAGTGCAAATTTTAAAACTTAATTTAATCACTTTAAAGACTTATGTCTAGATATATGTGATGGTGACATATTAAAAACTAGGTCGTGATCTCAACATGGCTCGAACTCACGATCCCTTGGTTGAAAGGATAATACTTTAGACGTGTGCCACCTCTCCCCTCTCTTTTAACAGCCGCTTAAATTTAGAAAAATTTAAAAATATTTTTTAATCTTATAGGTTGCATTAAAAGTTATGGAACAGATGATAATTTTGGTGTAAACTACGACTTCGCCGATCAAATGGCAGTTGCCACGTGCACCGCCCTTGCAGTAGACGGCTATATCCACGCTGTTAGACGGAGGTGCTCTTCGCTGTCGGTCTCGTGCGCGGAGACGTGTAAGCAAATAGGGTAAACACTGAAACTACTGAATTATATGTTAAAGGAAATCTACATCATAATATATAACTCAATAATGTATAAAAACATGGGTCACAGGGACAATGTCATGATTCCCTAAATGTAAATAACGATTGGTCAATACTTTCTAAATTATGACCCAAACACAATTGTTAAAATCATTTTGATTTGAAAGCTGCTTACTAGTATTTATGAAATTTTGTTGGCGATAAAATGAGGTTTATATTATACATTTTTACTGCAATACTGATTTCTATTTGACTTGTACGCAGCTGTTAAATCTGTAGCGCCTCGTCCAATATAGGTTTTGCAGCTTCAATGAAAACGAGGTTAGATGGAGTACAATAAGTATATGATACAGATCGGACATGAAAACGTAGAAGTAATTCTAAAGCAGTAACCATATTATTACCACACTGATTCATTTCTTTGGATTTACAGGCACCAATTAGTTCTAGTATATTTATTTTTATATATTTTCACCTTTAACATGCAGTTAACATTTTTATGCAGCATTACTGTGATATTTGTTTTTTATGCATGCATACTTGTATTTGTTTCAGTGGAACATGTTTCAATTCTCTACACATTTATAGAGGGTCACAAGTTTTGCTGAGAGACGTTCACGGTTCTAAGGGATTATATGCTTACAAGTACAACGCTTGTGGTGGTGGATGTGGTCCAAACTTTTGTTGTTGTCGGTCTTTAAAACCTTAATTGTTCATTGTCGTGTCACAAACATTTCTTTGTAACAGAAAATGGATTCGAATTACTGGAGTCTATGCATCTCTTACCTGTAGAAGTTGAGTTGGTTTTGACACCTGGTGTTGCTTTAAAGTTGTAACACCTGAGGGTAGCAAAAATCATCTTTCCTGTTTCGGCGCCATATGACTTAAACACACACACGCACGCACGCACACACACGCACGCACGCACCCTCACACACACACACGCACACGCACACGCACACACACACACGCACGCACGCACGCACGCACGCACGCACGCACACACACACACACACACACATATATGTAGCATCATTCTTGAGGGGAAAAAGTAATCGCTGTTGAAAATTGAAACACGTGTCTGTTAATCAAAATAATTGTAAATTGTACTACGATAATAACAAAGAGACATACCTTTTATCGTAAAAGTGGCACAGGCCAACCAAACCTTAACGTAAAGAAAGGCAAGATTTACAAATAAAAAGTAACATGTGACAATACTGAGGAACGATAATTAATGGCGTTTTTTTATTATCAATACATGATCAAGCGTGGGTATTTATGTCTTAAGGCCTTAACTGACGGTAGGATTTAGAGGTAAAACACCAATTAAAACTTGTATAATTCCAAAAGACAATAATGTTCAGCGTATTCATGTCTGATAAAAATATCAACTTCCCTTGAACACTTTAACACTTCTGATTAAAGTGATGAGCATAATGTTACCAGAACATAGTCAGACCAACCTGCAAAATGGAAGCTAATTAAGTGAATTAAAGAAATTCTGCAGGTTAAGGGTTTACCAATAAAGCAACACCTTTTATTGTTTTCTCTGATTCATCTAGGCGCTTTTGTGTGACAGCTCTTTCAGCTTCAGTATGTTCTTGCAACTCTTGGGCTTCCACAAGCATGTCTTCCAGCTGAATTATGCGCATGCTCAGTGACTCCACTGTCTGATTCATGTCCGTCTGTAACACCGTTGTGTAATAAAAATATGAAAGATCATACTAGTGCATTAATGTTTTCATTGATGACAAAATGATATAAAATGATGTAAAAATGATACACTGTAATCGGAATAGTAAACCATAGTGTGACATTTTTTTGTGAGAATAAAAACCAAACTTGAATGATGATTTAACATATTTAACCCACAGGTGCTTGTAACAAACTTTACCTGTGATTTAACCTGTATCACGCCCGAGAACTTTGCAATTTTGAATTTGGAACAAACGGTAGTACTATAATGTACTATAAAATAAACATTTTACATGAATGAGCAAAGATCGCCTACTAGTTGTGATTATGTGAAGGACGCTGACCTTTTTAAACTACATGTAACGATATAAACTAATAATCATTATAATATGGATGTAATATCAAGTAGGAAATCATATACAAATGCTGTTTAAATATGGGCCGATTGACCTTTACCATGATACACAGGACACTAGATAGATAGATACGTATTTCACAAACACACCTGTGGGGGGGGGGGGCGTCCGTGGCCGAGTGGTTAAGATCGTTGACTTCAAACCACTTGCCCCTCACCGCTGTGGCTTCGAATCCCGACAGGGACTTTGGATTCTTTCATGTGATGAAGCTATCCAGCTAGCTTACGGAACGTCGGTGGTTCTACTCAGGTGCCCGTTCGTGCCTGAAATAATGCATGGAAGGGCACCTGAGGCCTTCCTCCACCAGTAAAGCTGGAACGTCGCGATATGACCTATACTGTGTCGATGTGACGTAGTGACGTACCCCCCCCCCCCCCCCCCCCCCCAAAAAAAAGCAAAAACACAAACACACCATATCTTGTTTTAGATGTGATTTATATTCCTCCAGTTCTCCCATTCGTAACTCTACACTCATTTGTCGTCTGCTGAGCCGCCATTTTTCCCGCTTCAACGTGTCTGTGAGGTCTCGTGCAGTTTCGAGGTTCTCTTTCAGTTTTTCGTATAAACTTCCTTCTCCTTTTGACGCTTCTCCATTCTGCAGTAAACTTCATATTTAGATACAATGATAAAATTCTTATTCAATTCATTCTTGACATCATACTCTGGTTTAGCTACGTCAACGCTGTACATAGCACATTTTTCTTTAGAGCGTTTTGTTTATTATATGTATGTACATGTATAACCTATCCAATCTCATTAAAATGTAGCTTTTTAATATAAAATAATTGTAAGCTATCAGGCGCTTACACTTTAAAAACTAACAGCAGCAGCACTATTACGCCAAGTCATAGTGAAAAGCACGAAAAATACGTGCACAAATGTTATAAATTTTGACAAAAAAAGAAAAAGCGTGTCTTTCATCTATATGTTTAAGACAAACGGACAAATTATCTAAGCTGTCAACAAGTTCCTCGGCGGTGTCGACCAAAGCTATCGACTTCTTGTGACTAAGGACTGAAAAAACCAACGTAATACGTTTGCGACCAGCATGGATCCAGACCAGCCTGTGCAGTCTGATCAGGATCCATGCTGTTCGCTTACAAACCCTATAACAAGTAGAGAAACTGATAGCGAACAGCATGGATCCTGATCAGACTGCGCGGAGGCGCAGGCTGGTCTGGATCCATGCTGGTCGCAAACCCATTATGTTGGTTTTGTCGTGACGCGGCTCATATTATTATCCTGATACAAGAGTGTTTCATCTGAAATAAGATTGTTGAATTGTTATATCATACATGTATATAAAATGATTTGTTTAATAAAAGGCCCTAGTAATATTGTACATGCTAAAGGCAAAACAAAGTGTAATTTGTTTGTTGTTTATTTTTTAATGGTTATAAGTGAATTATTTCACCTTGGTTACATGTATATTAGTTTGCGTTATTATTTCTGACTGGTAATCAGATTGTTAATGCCTTTAAAAGGTTGGCCTAACTGAGATTAGACTTGTGGGGGGATGTTCATATGGTAGTTCATAAACTTCTTCAATAGGAGCATGATGACCAAGACGTGTCATATAATTGTGTTATAATTGGGAAGTTGGTGAACAATAAGATAATTGAATGATTTTAATTACTTAGGCATGACTTATACAAAATAATGTTAGTATATATGTTTCAAGCTACTCTCCCACACAAAACGGGTCTAAAACATAATTCATTCTTCAAATTAGACATCATTATAACGTTTATATATTTGGTAAGATATGCGTATAAATATTTTTTCATCGAAAAGTATAGTAGTTCAGTATTATCACATTTATACTTAATAAGAATCTATACAAGAGGGATATCTTTATTCTGTGTAACAAACAACATTGAATATCAAATTTGATCAACTTTTCAACCATATTTATTATTCTTATTAGGCCAACGCTTTTATTTTATTCAAATTACGGGTTTTTATATAAAGTTACCAGTATTAACATTCTATTTTATTTTTCCAACAGCAGTCATTATCTATACTTTTAATCCTAACGAATCAACATTCCTAACCCCCCCCCCCCCACTTTGTCATTATTATAATACACGTTTAATATAAATAATCTAACAATACCCCCTTGTCGTATTCTTATCCCCTATATGTTATAAAACTTAAAGTTTAAAGTTTCAAGGAAGTTTAAAGAAATGCATATACATGGTAAGGGTTATTTTACACGTTTTCATCATTTATACCATTAAATCTGCTGTGTTCGTCAGACAATATACATTAAATTGCGTAGTTACAAATTTCATTCATTTGATACCACTTTTCACGCATGTGATAACCAGATTTCATTCATAACATACATTTGACCAATCGTAACTTCTCGGCCTTTTCCGTCAAACTTCGGAATCAACTATATTGCGCATTCGGAACTGCCTCGGACTGACGGAAAGGGCCGAGTAGTTGCGATTGCTATATTGCGATCAATCATGTCGAAACAGGAAGACGAGAACATGACAGCGAAACTGGAAGAATTAATACTGAAAACAAAAGCGGAAATATATCAGTGTTTTAAATGGTTGCTTTGGATATGTTGTATATCGGTTGGTTTACTTGCGTGTTGGGTAGGAAAAGTACAGTACTATGCAGTCGTAAATACTAACGATGGTAGTGACAATATTCATAAGGACAGTAGATATAAGAGTTTTAAAGCATTTGACCAAGATCGTGATGGTTTTATTTCGGAGCCGGAGTTTGAACAAATCCATAGTCGCTTGATTAACACTCAACCAAAGGTGCTTAAAAACAAACTTTTTAAAGTTTTATATGGGCTATATACTATAATAAGATATCTTAATATACATATATAGACGTTTATGTAAAATATTTGATTATGTGACTAGCGCCTGTGCACTCAACCAGAGGAGAGGTTTCAAATTGTAAGGAAAACAAGTTTTTTTTTGAAGTTATTAATTAAGTTTTGTTAAATTAGCCGGTGAAAAAAAGATACTATCTTTTCTAGTTATTCTATTTGTGAATATCTTGACGATGAGAATATTGGTATCCGAGAGGAATACAAGGTTAGCTTTTAAAAAAGCTAGTAGCGACTCGCTTCGTAATTTCTTTCCAGGGGCGTGTTTAAATGTAAAAATGACAGTTCTGTTAGCTGAAAAGACTTCAGCGAACATCAAAATAAAAGTGACATATAAAGTTAAGGAAGCCAGTTCTCTCAGTTTAACAAAGAGGAATATGAGTATATATGAAGATGCATGTAAACAGATAGAATGAAGTCCCTATGTCTATGCACATTTACTATATGGCCTGTTGACCTTGACCAGAAAAAAATAGATAAGTAGAATTCATAAAAATGTCTCTTTATACGAAGTTAAGTTGTAATATGTTATTTAGTATTGGAATAAGTGACAGATACAAGTCAAGTCAAGTAAATTTTATTTACAAGTCGGATACATCAACAATAAACATAAGCTCTGATGAGCTTTTTACACCGACTTCTATAATAGTTCTAAAGTAAACACAAGTTGTCAATCAATTCAGCCAGAAAAGCCGGGATCCTATTAAAAAAATAGGATCCCGGAAATTGACCAGTTTAAGAATATAGTTTTCAGAAAAGCCGGGATCATATTAAAAAAATAAAGAGATCCCAGGAATTGGACAGTTCAAGAATATTGTTTTCAGAAAAAGCTGGGATCGTATTAAAACATATAGGGATCCCGGGATTTGACCAATTCAAGAATATAGTCTTTGATTTTTCCAATTAATTAGGCATATAATTATAAGTATTGTGATTTTGTTAATAAATAGCTCTAAATATATCTATATCCTAAGTTAAATCAATTTAACTTTCATTACATACAATAAAAAAAAACTTAACGTTTAATGGCCTTTCATTACGACTATTATCAACACATATATAGTTTATTAGTATTTTCTTCTATTATCTTATACGATCCCGGATCCCGGGCGTCCCGGATCCCGGCCAGTAAATACATACACTATATACCGGAAGGGATGAAATGACCGGAAAAAAAGGAAAAAGAAAAAAATGCACAGAACCAGATGTCGTTCATGTTAATTAACCAAACGAAAACTTACTACAAAGTAAACAGGACTGGTGAAATCGCTAAATCAAAAGTCAATGTAAATATGATTTATTGAAAAGAATCCATGAACACAAACATTTTAATCACCATTATATCTTTGCGCTCAAAACAATACTTGCTGCTTTTTAAAAATGGCGTGAAAATTGAAGGTTTTTTGACGCTATATAAGATCAAATTTGATTGGCTAAATAATTTTGGATCCTAGCCCTGATAGATAAATTTTGTAGAAAGCTGGAAGCAAAGCTTCGATTAAATTTTTGGATGGTTTCGGAGTTTTAGGTTGTTTCTCAGTAAAATCCTAACGTAATACCGGCTCGCCGTGGCGAGCCGGCACAAGTAAAGGGAAGTAACAGAATCGCCAGTTTGAAATATTACCGAAAGAGTTATCTTTACTTGATACCAGTGAATGCTCGGTCAATAGGGCTCTGTCAAAAAAAGAAAAAAAAGGAAGAAATCTTTTCGTTTATTTTTCACAAAAAAAACCCTTTAAAGATGGATTTAGGGAAAAAATCTAAAATAGTAACAGTAGAAACATTTTATCATTCAATTTCAATGCATCCATATTTGGCTACCTATCTGTTTAGATAACTGGTTGATTTAAATACATTTAAATAAAGTAGCTATATTAAGAATCATTATTTCTAAAGTATTCTTTTTATGATTTCTAAGGCATCAAGAGTTGAAATGTTTTGTCTTTTGTAAAATAACAACAAAATAAATTTTCCATATACATATGCATGTCTTTTAAAGGTGTCAGATGAATTAAAACGTATTGAAGAGGAACAAGGGAAACTCCACGCCCTTATAAATGATCTACAGTTAAAACTGACAGGTTTGTGAGATCTTAGAAAACTTAGTTATAGTTAATAAACAGTTTTATTATATTATATAATATTTTATACCTTTTCCTTGCGCAGCATTTTTTTTCATAACTAGTGCAAAATGATTTAATAATACATGCCGTCTTTTCCAGTCGCTTAAAATGCAGTTTGCTATATAAATAGTGATGACATTATGAAAGAACGACTCCAGTTCGACATTGACCGCAACATTTTGTCGTCGTGTTATTGGGGTGCCATGGCACAACAAACGCCACAGCGGCAATACGGTGGCACCATGGCGAAGCATCAAGCGGCGCCAGAACGCCTAACTGTGTCGTTATGGTGCCCTATTTTTGGCTACAAACAAATATATGATTTCAGACTCCGAGTTGGCTCAATGGGGACCCTGGAGCACGTGGAGCGACTGTTATATGAATTGCACTGGTAAACACGGTGGTCGTTTACAGAATCGTTCAAGGGAGACAAATTCAAAGTCGGTCGTACAGGGTCATCAAAAAGAGACTGAGGAACGCCCATGCAATGCTGTACAATTCGCAGGTTGGTTATAATATTACACATGTAATTGTTTATGGAATATTATCACTAACAGTATAAACACTGCCCATTCATTTAATCATTTTTTAAATATTTTTTTTCCATTAGTATTAAATATTTATGACCGGTCAGAATCTGAATAAACGGACACTGCTAACAAAATGAAGCCGTCGCAGAAGTTACATTCCCAGTAAAAACTATTTTAGCAAGTAGTACATAATTCGCTTTTCAACACAAGTGAGTTAATGACCAAAATACGGGATTAAAGTGCAAATTTTATAACTTAATTTAATCACTTTTAAAACTGATGTCTAGATATCTGTGATGGTGACATATTAAAAAGTAGGTCGTGATCTCAACGTGGCTCGAACTCACGATCCTAGCTTGGTTGAAAGATTAATACTTTAAACGTGTGCCACCCTCCCCTCTCTGTTTACAGCCGCTTCGAATTAGGAGAATTTAAAAGTATTTTGGATTTAGAGTACACCGTTTTTTTTTTAAATCTCATAGGTTGCATTAAAAGTTATGGAACAGATGATAATTTTGGTGTTAACTACGATTTCGCCGATCAAATGGCAGTTTCCACGTGCACGGCGCTTTCAGATGCCGGCTATATCTACGCTGTTAGACGGAGGTGCTCTTCGCTGTCGGTCTCGTGCGAGGAGACGTGTAAGCAAATAGGGTAAATACTGAAACTACTGAAATATATGTTAAAGGAAATCTTCACTCAGACATGTATAAAAACATGGATCACAGGGACACAGTCATTGGTCAATACTGTCTCATTTATGGCCCAAGCAAAATTGTTTAACTCATTTTGATTCGTCAATTACCCTTGAAAGCTGCTTACTAGTATTTATGAAATTTTGTTGGCGATAAAATGAGGTTTATATTATACATTTTTTACTGCAATACTGATTTCTATTTGACGTGTACGCAGCTGTTAAATCTGTAGCGCCTATATAGGTTTTGCAGCTTCACATCGACTTGAAAATGAAAACGAGGTTAGATGGAGTACAATAAGTATATGATACAGGTCGAACATGAAAACGTAGAAGTAATTCTAAAGCAGTAACCATATTATTACCACACTGATTCATTTCTTCGGATTTACAGAAACCAATTAGTTCCAGTATATTCATTTTTATATATTTTCACCTTTAACATGCGGTTAACATTTTTATGCAGCTATGTGATATATATTATATGTGATAAATATTTGTTTTTTATGCATGCATACATGTATTTTTTCAGTGGAACATGTATCAATTCTCTACACATTTATAGAGGGTCACAAGTTTTGCTGAGAGATGTTGACGGTTCCAAGGGATTGTATGTCTACAAGTACAACAGTTGTGCCGGTGAATTTTGTGGTCCAAACTTTTGCTGTTGTCGGTCTTCAAAACCTTAATTGTTCATTGTCGTATCACAACATTCAAAACATAGCCTTGTAATAGAAAATGCAGTATTCCCTTGTGGCTTAGGGCTTATCTTTCAGAGCTGAGGCATCAGAATTGCTGTCACCGTTTTCCTCTAAGTGATTATAAGAATCTAAATGGGTTTGAATAACTGGAGTCTATGTATCTCTTACCTCCAGTAGGCAAGGTGGTTTTGACCCTTGGTGTTGCTTTAAGTTTGTAACACTGAGGTTAGCCAAAATCAGCTTTCCTTTTTGGGCGCTATATAAATTAAATTGTGTTGGTGCGCCGTAAAGTCAAACAAAACAAACGGAAAATGTACTTTCTTTAGTTAGCCATCATAAGGACAGCGAAATGATAAGCATTGATATTTTGTCGATATGATAAGCATTGATATTTTGTCGATATGATAAGCATTGATATTTTGTCGATATGATAAGCATTGATATTTTGTCGAATACGCAGCATCATTCTTGAGAGAATAAAAGTGATCATGGAAGCCAATAGAGCTGTTGAAAATTGATAACAAACCACAATGTTTATTTATATGGATGCTGTTGGAAAGTGTGAGATACATGATCCGATATAAAATATTTATATATATCTCAATATATTGTGTTCATTATATTAATGTTCATACTAAATCACCAAAAATGTTATTAGCATTTCCTTTTCAATAAAACCTTTTTAAAGGAAAATCCAAATGATGCATTTCTATTATTTTATCAACATGTGAAATACTTTGGGAAAACGTGCCAATCCACTTAAACCAAATTTTTGACAATGTGGCCCAGGATATTGTCTTGAAACAAGCGAATGTGAGTCCAGTGGTAACCGTAATTTACTGACTTCCCAGCCTTAATTCAATATTCGCTATCTCAAATAAGTTTAAAAAAATATTTTAAACTCATGCTTGTAGAAATTTTTCTGTGTTGCAATATTTTGATGAAAATATGTGTCACAATTTCTGCAAGCATACATGTATCTGGAAAAGTACAAGAGCTACATTGGAAAAACATATATACCACTGGAGCCTAAAACATGGTGTTTATTATTCAAATATTGAAGGATAAAACGAAAAATGAGCATAGCGGTGTGTGTGTGTGTGTGTGTGCGCGCGCGCGCGCGCGCGCGCGCGCGCGCGGTATAAAACCATATGGGCGAGCATATGCTTCATTTATGATAGGGAAAAACTGTACTTGGTAAAATAACTGCATATGTGGCTAGTGAGTGCCATATTTCCTGCCCCAAATCGGCAAATAATTGCCGTAGATGAAGCCGGAAAAAGGCGGGATTATAATTATATCCCACACTTAGATTAAAAACTGTATTTAAAAAATTAACTTGAAGGAAGACGCTTATAGACCCTTTCATTTAAGACCGTATTCAAGTTGTCGCCCTTGGATGACGTCATTGGGGGATACAGTGGACAATGCCGATACGATTAAGTCTGGGATGTACGATGTGTCCCAGATTAAGTACAATAATAGAGGGATATAAAGATCTTAATCCTTTCTTTAATTGCCAAAATTTTGTGTAATTGAATAAGATATTACATAAAAAGGATGGTGAAATGAATAAATAAGAATGTTAACTATAATAAGGTTAACGATTTGTTTTAATAGTAGACTATATTGCTGGGCAACTGATCATGATTACCATGTTCGTTCAGGTAGTTTCGAAAAAAGGCTGCGTAATAATTAAGGTGACAACAGACACTTTCCGTGGTACTCACATAAATGTCATTTAAACCAACTTATTTTAGTAATAATTATTATTTATTTAATCTTTGTGCATTAAATGTCGTTGATCATCATAAAAAATAACATATTTGAAAAAAATGCCTTTGTAAATGATTGATTTTTAATAAAAATCATAAAATTTTAAATCGTCATATCAAAGTCAATTTTTATTTTTTTGTCATCAAACTTTTGGAAAATAAACATACTTATAATATCTGGGGAACCGTGTCTCAAATTTTTTCTATCTTTTCTCAAAAAAATATTACGTAACGTCAAACATTTTATACGACTTTTTTCACCATACATATTACGTAATTAAAGATAATTAAGTCGCTGATTGAGCAAACAAAAATCCCTGACAATGTTCCCTCCGTAAATAAATTCCCTTTCATGTGCTTTAAACCGCATGTTAATTGCTTGATTATTAAAAAAGTTATGCCGATTCAAAGTTAGTCCGACCCGCATCAAACGAAGTGTCATAAATCGGCTGTTCTCTCTCGGACCCCTACGTTTCACGCTAAATAATTGCATAATACACAAATATCGCACCAGAGAGGGTCACAAGTTGCGGTAACATACTCTAACAACATTTTATGACCCAGTGTCATCTGACCAATTAAAAATTTGCTGATTAATATCAGTTTATAACAGAAATTTCTTCAAATCTTAACGTGATTTACTTTTCGTCTGGTATCGGTCTCACATGTCACGTGACTTTCGGTAAAATTTGAGGCACTCGGTGGGGGGGTATTGGAACGTATTTGCGCACCGTTAGCGGGGTATTTAATTGTTTCACGTTTGAAGATTATTATTATTATCATCAGCATTATTATTATATTATACCAGTGTCACTCTGTCTGTGTATTCGTGTATGAATTTCCGTTAAAATATAAATTAAAATAACAAAAAACTTAGCTTCTGACGGTCTTTTAAAGTCCATGGTAGATGTACAAATTAGAACGGGATATTATATATTTTTTCCTCCAAATTGATTTAAATGCTTGACATATTTTAATAGAAATAAAAGGTATCACTCGATAATTATGATCTGATCTTCTTGACATCTATTATCATGAAAATCATTTACGCACGGCATAGAGATCTAGTTTCTACTGGGGTATACAATAATTCCATACTTTGTCCCAGGTTTATTAGTACTGTGTTCGATTTACTGGCGAACAATTTATTCAAAGCATACACTGATAATATATATCAATATTTTTTTTATTGATTCATAGAGAAATAATCATCCTTAAACAATCTAAAATGGTTTAGAAATTTGTCAGGGACACCGTACCGCAAGTCATATAGGCGTTCACATAAAAAGTTGTCTGTTTTTGTTGTTGTTTTACTTGACATTGTTAGAAAACGAGGTTGAATGTTAAGCAAGCCATTGAATCCGTTCAAAAGTCCATAAACTCAATGTAATATCTATCAGATTAACGGGACAGACAAATTATTTTCACACATTATGGATATTTTAGCAACCATATTTTTAAACAACCCCGTGGTCGTGCGATTTGCCGCTATGCTTAATTGTTTATGTTTTATCGATATGTTACGTACATTGGCCGACAATTTCTTATTTTATAAAAAATGCTAAATAAAAGGTAGACGATATTCATAAAAGATGTACGGTATTTGTACGATACATGAATTACGAGTAGTATGGACCAGTATGGACCGGTAATTCACGGATATATGGAACTACCGATTTCCCTCATTGATGCCTCAACAGGGGGGGGCGGAGCGTTATCGATAATTGACAGGTTACGCGAATAGCAGATAAAAATGGTACAGGTACCGTTTAAAAACGTTTAAAAACACATTTTTTGGACTAACTGCTTCCAAAATTAAATCACGAATGTGTTCAGAAATGGTTGATAAATCTACTAAGCAAAAAATCTCATTTTAGGTTTTTTCAGTGATAATTGACTCCGTTGTCACCTTAATTGCAAGATACTGGTTTATTAAAAATCATTTTGATTTAAGCATTACTTAGACGAAGACAAACAACAATATAAATCTATGTAATTTCAAAAAAAATGTAAAGGCATAAAAAGTAAAAATTCTTTTGAATGTACATGACTGTATACTAGCTATTTGTGTCGGCAAAAAATGCACTCTCAAAAAAAATAAAGTAATATTTTCAACTTGAAACATTTTAATTTATACTCTGCTTATCAAATATTTAAAAAAATCACAAAAAAAACAACAAAAAAAAAAACAAGTTGTGAAACACGTTCGCAGAAATTCGTTAATTTTATTAACTGAATTATAATTTTACGTATTTTTGACTGTGCCAGTTGGTAGGACTCTTGATCGAGTATCAAATCAGTAAGGCATGACCAATAAAGTCCCTAGGATGATCCATAACAAAATTTGGATCATAAATAGTTTGACAACTAACAAAAGTGACGTAATCTGATGTAATATTATAACTCTAAAAAATGCACCCAGGTGATTTATGATATCACAGCCAAGTGCCGCTTGTATATACAACATATGCACCCTGTTAATTAATATGTTACGGCCCAGTGGCGCTTATACACACACATCTATTTATCTATGAAATAAGTTACTGGGAAAAGGTCTTTATTTTTATAGCCATAAGAATAGATTTTTAATATCTATCGTCTGTTGCGAATCTAAAATAATAAAAGTCAATGCCTCATGGTTTTCGTTCTTTCCGGAATAATCATAAAATTAGATCTATATCCTTCACTGGTTCTTTGAAATATTTTTATACGGCATAATGAAAAAGAATCAGTAAGTATTGACATAATGCATTCTGTTATTGTTCTATTAAAGCTTGAAAAACAATCATTAAAAGATGGGGCAATCTTATTTTCATGTTTGTCACAAACGCCGGAATTTTCTAAATGACAGAAATAACACAGAAAAGTAGAAAATGGCCATTTAAATTTAAAATAGGCAATTTCAGTGTGTATGGGTGTTTATAAAATATTAAAATTTGATTTAGTTACTAGCTTTTTATCCTGAGAAAATTTAGATCTAATATAAATATATTCACTTTGAAATTTCGCTGTTTCACTCCGTTCCCAATCTTTGTTGTTTTTTTTTTTCTATTGTCTTGATATTGAATTTATGTATGCATGCGTTAATTTTTACATGTTATAATCATAATTGAACGGTCAGTATTTACGCATTTAACTTTTCAATAAGCTAACATTCTATGCGGCCTGCATAGTTTTAGCCAAACTCCTCACAGCGGTTACGTCACGCTTTGCTACTTTTACTGTACATATCAGGGGAAGTAACCGCTGCGAGGAGTTTGAGTTTTACCCCATTTACGTCACATCCGGTAAGGAAAGTAACTCTTCCCTGACTGTTATCGCTTAGGGGGCAGGGGACCTAAAAATGAAAAAAATTGTATTTCAGTGTGACCAGAAACACAATTCCAAATATTTCAAAATCTGTTTCACATGCAGATAACCAGTTGCACAGCATTATTCAATGATATATGACATACATTGAAGAAAATAATAGTTTGCATGCATTGCTCCTTCAAAAAATGACTGACAGCAATTTATATTTACCCCCACCCAGCCAAAATCACACCTAAAATATACCAATATGGGCAATCTTCATGAAGGTGCAGCATACTCAAGAATCCGCCCGATTCCTTTAAAAATATCAGTAACACGCAGTGCAAGCTATGGCATTTTCAGAAATGACAAATAAAGTGTCTGTCATACGTTTAGATTTTTCACAAAATTTATCTGAAATTTCTTACTTGTTTGGCGCCAACTGTCAAAGCTTGATTTTTAACTTTTTCACCTCCATTCGGAGAGTCAGAAATACATACAAAGCTACCAAAATGCTTAGTTTCGGGTAAAAACCCAAAAATACTCCTCATTTCCTACACACAAACAAGAAAGAATTACAATGACAGAGAAATATCAGAAGTTATCAGTACCTTCAAAACACCATGTCTGAGTTATTAAAAAATTTGACCGGGGCCATCATTCGAATATGTCCCCTGCCCCCTTAAATGAAAGGGTCTATACGCGTACGAGCATAGCGGTAACCCAATGTTACCGTAAATATATGTCACGTGATCAATCACCCTGAGCCAAACTTGTAACACAGAGTGATATGTCATCATTTTGTTGAGGAAAAAAGTGACAACTATGCATACACGTTTTACTATTTTATTCAAGTTAAAGGGAGGCTATAGAAGTTTGTTCATATATAATATTAGTTGTTTCCCTTTAACGCCTCTATTGTACTTGTAATGCTATTTTTTTGTTGCGCGTTTATGATAAATTTATACATGATATATAACCTACACATTCTCTGACCATAAAATATTTAAATCTAGTTCATAATGGTGAAAATAACTTGCATTTGAAAATATAAGCATGCAAATTTCTTTCTTGATTAAGGGATATTCCGCGGATTTCAACATTTTCGGGATTCCATATTCATTCCGGAAACGACCAGAGAATCAGAAAATCTTTTTCGAGGGATGAATATCATTTACAGAAATGAGAACACATTTTGAATCTGTTTTCAATATTTCCAAAGTTCACAATGACTCAAATGACAAAATAAATAAGACAAAACACTTTCAAGGAAGACGTTTCCAAAGTTGTATGATGTTTCTACAAGTCGTCAATTTTATACATAAGCTATTTCCGTGGTCTCTGTAAACACTGATGAACGCGAGGATTTCGTGCTATTCTGATCCATCGTATTTTCATGACATGCTCTTCCGTTCTCAGTCACTTCATTTTCTGTTTCAGTTTGTCCGTTCACTTTAGAGTCAGAACTTAAACTTTTAGTAGTTGCCTCTTGTTGTTGTTCATTGTCTTCTTTCTCGCGGATAAGTTCTTTAAGGCTTTTATTTTCAAGCATGAGAATTTCGATCCTGTCGGTAAGTTCACTATGTTGCCTTTTCAAAACGGAGTCCTTCCTTTCAAGTTTAAGCAGTCGGATTTCCTCGGTCATCTTCGCCTGTTTGTCTTCCAAATCTGTTCATGAAAAAGGATAATTGAAAACTTATAATCTATCAAATAACTATCTGCTACTTAAAAAATAACAAGAAACATGACAATGCCATGAAACCAGGTTTTCAAAAATAGCCACTTCAAGCAGAGACCGCACACTCAGAATGTTTGAGCCAAATCCATCAATTAGCACGGAATGTAAAAATGACACGTGCCCAATTCCCCAAATATTTAATATGGTGTAAGAATAAGAAATCATTATAAAAGTCACAGAGAAAATGATAATATAATGGTATGAGTAAACTGATAAGCCAAGTCTGTTTCCAAATTATACTTATCAACCACAAACCATTTTACAATTTTACAGTGAATTTAACCAAGAGCAATCTCAAGCAAGGTCTTCACATAAACCTGCTATATACCAAGTTTGATAACGTCTCTTTCCTATCTTCAGTAATTGACTTTTTTGTATTTTTAATAATAGTGACATTAACCTTGACCCTAGGATGTCAAAATACAGTCTCAAAGGAGGTCTCCACGCAAGCTTGCTTTATCCCTAATTTAATAAAAACATGTCATTATTGTCTGGGAACCATTTTCAGACAGTTGATGGCGGGGGTCAACCTTGGCCCAATCCCAACTACATATTTAAGAAACATTCAAACTTTTTGACTCGGGGTATACTCCAAAATACAACAACACGCATGTCTGGTGTGTAACACTTTCACGATTCTGATTAAAGTGATGGAACCTGCAAAATGGAAGTTTATCAAGTGAATTAAAGAAATTCTGCAGGTTAAGGGTTAAGCAATAAAGCAACACCTTTTATTGTTTTCTCTGATTCATCTAGGCGCTTTTGTGTGACAGCTCTTTCAGCTTCAGTATGTTCCTGCAACTCTTGGGCTTCGACAAGCATGTATTCCAGTTGAATTATGCGCATGCTCAGTGACTCCACTGTCTGATTCATGTCCGTCTGTAACACCGTTCAAGTAATGATAAAATTATGAAAGAACATATACTACAGAATGACGCTACCAATGGTAAATAGTTTACTTCAAAATTCACTACAATCATTATAACATGGATGTTATCTCAAAACAAGTAGGAAATCATTTTTCAATAAGACAATAAGTATATGCCTATTGACCTTTAGACGTACACTTTACAATATATGATGAAATATTTAACAACCAAGAAATTCTCAAGAAAATAAATATGTATTTCAGCAACACACCATATCTTGCTTTAGATGTGACTTATAATCCTCCAGTTCTCCCATTCGTAACTCTACACTCATTTGTCGTCTGCTGAGCCGCCATTTTTCCCGCTTCAACGTGTCAGTGAGGTCTCGTGCAGTTTCGAGGTTCTCTTTCAGTTTTTCATATAAACTTCCTTCTCCTTTTGACGCTTCTCCATTCTGCAGTAAACTTCATATTTAGATACAAAATTCTTATTTAATTCATTCTTGACATAATAATTTGGTTTAGCAACGTCATTACAAAAAAGTGACGCTGTATTTTCTTTAGAACGTTTTGTTTCTCAACAGGAACGTACATGTATCCATCTGATCTGAATAAGATGTAGCTTAAATTTAAAAAAACATATCAGACGCTAAAATTTTGATGACAAACGCAGCAGTACCACTAATAGCACCCCAGGGCAAAGTGAAACAATTAAAAAAAGCACGAAAAATACGTGCGCACACTTATGAACAAAATTAGTTGTATCATAAAAATTTGGACAAAGTGTGATCCCTCGGAAGCATTAATCACAATAAAAATTAAATGAATATTGCAGAATCGGTCTAAGTGAGTCTATATACATGAGGGCTTGGAAAGAAAGATACACGAGGGATAATGAAAAAGTGCAACATCCCTCACGACCCCAAGCACCGGCTTGAGTGGTACCCAATTTTCAACACTTACATGAAAAAGTGCTGGAATCGATCCCGAAGGACCAGAAAAATATATCAACACTGAAGTGAAGTACGGGGAAAATTAAAAAATATTTTTACCTGAACATGTCTTTCATCTATATGTTTAAGACAAACGGACAAATTATCTAAGCTGTCCACAAGTTCCTCGGCCGTGTCGACCAAAGCTATCGACTTCTTGTGGCTGAAAACTGGGTTGATATCCAAGGTCCTTCTTGCCATTTTAACACTTTCACACTATTTCTATAGATTCTGTAGCGTTTCCCCCCTATTAAAACACGTTCCTTTGTTTAATTATGCTTCACTTCAATACTTTTTAATACTTTTTTTCCCTTTCTTAGATAAATATTCACCGTTAAAAAACGTTAACGTAGAGAACTGCGCTTAAATTCCTTCAACACTTTTTTTTAAAAGTCTAAAGTCGTTATCACTCATTAAAACCAACACTTGTAAATAACATTCAGTATGCTAATTATATATAAAACTGGAATTCAACGCGTAAACTTTTTATTCGAACAATGTACTATATGTATATTAAAGACATAATTAATCCATCAAATTTGTCATTTGTAAGAGTAATTATAAAATATGTCACGTCCGTCCTGTGCTCGATTGTTGTTTTAACCCACTTCGATGATTTCTTGTTCGATTACCTGAGGATACACCTACAAGACGGTGTTACAGGAGTGTCATCAATGCAACCCAATCTGTCAGCTGTCACAAAATAATATATAGCATTGTTAGAATAACACAATAAAGATCATTTAATATGCAAATTATATTACCTTTATCACTAAGAATACCTTTAAGAATAAAACATTTCTGACGAACATCATTAACAAAATTAGTCCGTGTAATTGTACTTGTATCAACGTTCTTTTTGAGCTCCTGTAACTCTAAGTTTCAGGAAATGTATATTTACTTGCTGACTTTTCTGTTCATATATTTCAGCGCTCATATCTTACTTAACCAATCAATTATGATAAAGTTATGCTCCCATGGGCCTAGTTTTACCTCCAAGATTTCTTCATGTACATATCACGTGGTCAAGAGATGAGTCTATACCCTCAAATGTCTACAGGAATTTAAACTTGCCACGTGGCTAGTCGATGAGTCTGCACTAAGAAAAAGTTGCAATGAAAAACTCGTTTCACTAGACAATGTATTTTTATGGTACCTCAAAGATGCTTTATAAATGCATATGTCAATTATTACCTTTTTATGTGAGACACATATCCAAAGGATAGTCTCTTAAAAATTATAGCATGTTACATCAATTTTATATGAACTTAGTTATATCCATTTAATGGTTTAATAATTAATTTGTATACATACATTATATAGTAACAAATATAACGATATCATCGCTCATGTTTAGTTGTTTTTTTTTTTTGCCTCATATAAAAAGAAAAGATCAAACGGAACATTATTACCATATTATGTGCAGTCAGGTACGGTATATGTTTTATTATAATTAATATTTTATCGTCGTACTATGGTTAACCTTACTATCAAAATGAGTCAGTCAAACTTACAACGTTTATTTATGATACTCCACTGTAAGAGAATAAAGAAATCGTGAATGTAACTTTTTATTTCTTGATTTTTATATTTTCATTTTTTTTGTTACTTTTTTTTAATAGAAAAAAAAAAATCTTTCTTGTTGTTGTTGTTGCTGTTTGCAAAAATATTTGTCATTTATTGATTTTTCAAGTTTAAGGTTTATTTTTTACATTTACACGGGCAAAGTCATCATCAGGAGATCATGGGATAAAGCATGACAAGGTGTAGAAACTTTAGTCAAAATAAACCAACCCATCTTTCTTCAACCAAAAAATAATTAAATAAAATTATAGAATACAAATTAGGCAACACAAATTTTCGGTCTGGAATCATTATTTCATTTGCATAAAAATCAATATACTTTATAAATATCTGAAAAAGTGATCCCTTGGTAGTATTAAATTCGCATAATTACATGAAAATTGCAGACACGGTTTGATTAAGCCTGTACATAAAGAATAATGAAAAAGTGCAACATCCCTCACGCCCCTCTAGCACCTGTTAGAGTGGTACTCAATTTTCAAATCAATGATCCCGAGCTCCAATATAGTAGCAAGTTTTATATTGATTTTGTATTGTAAATGTTACTTGATGATGTAAGATTAGATTTAAGGTAACAGATGCATGTGAGATTATTCTTCACTTGAGTAGTCTGAACAAGAGGCTTAATAACAGTTTATGGCATTGACATTTTTAAAGCTCACCTACCAGAGTGTAAAGATACGGCTGAACAGCATGATATGCCGACATACCTTTTTTCTAGTTTAAACATATTCATTTAGCTCGGTGGTGAAACAAGTTCGTGTAACTTATATTTATCACTTTCAAGTCCGCTTCCTGGAACTAACCAGTACTGGTGTCATTATGAGAAATCATGGTCGTAACCCAAGTAGGGCTCGAACCCATAAGCCACTGCTCCCCTTTTTATTCAACAGTAGACTTACCTTTAATAAAATTCCTGTAAATAAAGATATTTTAACATAGACTGTAGTAGCTACTCGTATAAGTACTTAATATAGACATTATTGCTTTACAAGCTAAGAATCTGTCCTGTCTGCACTACTTTGCAGCCATGACCAGGGTCTTAAATGTTTGCAACTGACAATGTATTATTTAATGGTAAAAACATTTTATTAGTTTACATTAATTATATTGCAGAAATGCATCTTTATGAATATATTGAGACATGAGAATGAACCTTAAAATGGCAACAACAGGGGAGGTAATGCAAAACATATTTGGGACTGGGCTAACAATATATCATTTTCCCCATGTTTTGTAAGTTACTTTTGAGAAGTTTGTTAATATATATATATATATATAACATACATTAAAATAACTGTCCTTTTAATTAATTTCGAGAATGTTTAATGGGATCACGGACTTTAATTGACAATTAAAGTCCGTGATGGGATGCAGCTATTTGAAGTTCAACACTTTAAATCATAGATATTTGCTGTATAATGTAGTTCATCTCCAATCATCTCTGCAATAGCATTAAGGTGGGTGAAAATTAACCAGCAATGATTTCTTGTATATTACAATCATTTGGACCATAAAATTTAGGCTTAAGTTAATTGATACATTGAAATATGAAATGTGTTGGAATTTATTGTTTTTTAATGGTGTTGAAGTAGAAACTTATCTGATATTCAGAAATAATAGGTTTTCTTTGAAAAACTTGATTTTAATGACTAAGAATACCTTAGAATTCAGTACATGTACATGTGTATATCATTTTCAGAAATAGAACATCCTCAATTATAATAAAATAATAATAACTCTCGATTTTAGTAATACTCATAATTAAATTGCAATGAATAATCATTAATAACTAAATATTTGATTGTAATAAAATAGTTATAATCCTTTATACTAGTAAATACATGTATATCTTAAATTATAATTGATAATCTTTAATTATCTTAAAATATCATAACCTATACATTATTGTACTAGAATCAACAATGCAAGAACACTGATATAGATCTATTTGCAACATGCTAACAGAAATATATGTTGATTTTTATTGGGCGGAGAAGCAGTTGTCAACATGACATCATTTGCATTTGTTGACCTCACATCTGACTTTATAATTATGGCATACATTTTGAAAGTGGTTGGTAAAAGAAATACTGTGGTGAAATACGGTATTGAAATGCTTATTAGAGTTAATATGCTCGACTGATCTAATAATCCTCAATTAAAAAATAATGAATAATCCTGAATTATATTGAATAAACCTAAATTATAATGAATAATCCTAACCTATATTGAATAATCCTCAATTTATTTTATAAACCTAATAATTCTGAATTACAATGTATATTGATTTATTCACGAACAAATATAAATTATGATTAATTTACTTACATATTTCTTATGATAGATATCCTCCACAAGCAATCAATAGATGACTTCAAAAAAAGTGATTAATTAACTTAATATATTTGATCATCCTGTAACGGTAGCTTTAAAATTTGTAAATTTGTATTGGTCACTGTGAATTCACGTATAAAAAGTATTTTTCCTTCATTTATAACTCATAGAATAAATAATATGACCATAACAGTCACTGTCAAATACGAAGAAAGAATTACCTTCAAATACAAGTCTGGAAAAAAACTTGAAGAAATCCTCCTTTTTAAATCTAATTATCTGCAGTCACTTAGTGTCAAATATCATTAAACTTCTTTCAATGTAGAACTATTTAACTACTTGCTACATTTGGCCATGTATACAACCTAATTATCCTGTTAAACTGTCAATTTTATACTACTACTAGTCACTGAACTTTATTGTTTGAATAATACATTTGTACAAGTCAGTGTAAAATGATACTTTTTTCTAGTACTAATCTTACCCACATTTACAAGGTCAACTGAAGTAGGGTCTTCCTAAAAAAAATATTTAAAAAATGTGTGTGTGTGCATGTGTGTGTGTTTTCTTTTTATATAACTGTTTAAAGCAAAACTCTATTTTTCCCCATTTATTAAAGAAATAGAGATGAAAAAGTTAAAGTGATAATCCATATCAAACTTTAAGTGATATTTTAGATATTGCCTTTTTACTTTACTCAAAGTTGAAAAATACTGTGTTTCTCTTATGAAATTATAAAAGAAAAATCAGCATTATCAAAAGTCATTAATAGAAAGAGATTCTTGAAAATCAGCAGTCTAGAAAATCAACATATTAAATTGAAAATAAGCATTCTTAATTGGCATCATAATCTTTAATTTTTCAAGTATTATAATACCAAGTAAAGATAGAAATCATTTTATGCCTTGTTTCAGTTTATTATAATTTTCCATGTGATGAACATTTTGACAATTTTTGCTAAAACGCCCAAACAAAGTGCTTTAATTTTGTTTTAACATGTGTTATAACTTCTGATGAACAATTGTGAACCATTTTCTACCTTTCAAAACTGCAGTCAATGTTATCTGATTTAAACTGAACATTTTAAACCAAATCTTAATTTCCATATAGAGTTAACACCTTACTGGGTCAATTTCTGTTAAAAATATTTTTGTTACCTTATCTAGAGCTAAATTTTAATTCTTAAAAAAAAATAACTTTCGTTCATGGTATAAAGTTCACAGGTGTTTAACACACAGAAATAAAAACAAATGTATTAATCCTGGAGTTCATGAACTAACCAAGTGTTAATAAAGTTTATTTGTTTAAAGCATTAACCATGCTCATTGCTTAATTCAATAGCTTAAGGTTGTTTTTTTTTGTTTTTTTAGAAAAATTGTATCAAAGTGTATTACATGTAACTACAATTTATATATAAATTTATACTATTAAATTGAAGAAACATGAAGAAACATTTTTTCTTCAAATAAACCAATACAATCTTAAAAGATGTTTACTATTTAAAAGGTTTCTTATACTTACATTAAAATGAATACATCCAAGTTAAGAAAATTAAGTGTATCACTATTTAGTAATAAATTTATATTTGTTCACCACAATATTTGTCCATCATTCACTGATTCACACATATAATATACAACTCCATATGACCACAAAAACATGAAGAAAATAAATAAAAACAAACCTGCATTGATGTGTATTACTCCCTCGGGCAGGAACATTTAAATTGTAGAGTTGAACAAGAAAACAATATCCTTATGGTCAAAGGTAAAAGCTGTGCATAAACAGTAAATATCGAATTTCTACATATATGATGGGACATTACTGATAACAAAATGCTGTAAAGTATGTATAAAGATAACGAGGCACTCTTGACCTTGTACATGATGTCATCTATTTCTTTTACTTGGAGAAGTATTCCTTTATAAAGCCATGCCTGTGGAGTGATAAATGCTTATTTTGACAGGTTAAATACCACTAAATGAGAACAGATTTAGCCTTGCACTTAAAATGTAAGCCTTGTGAGTATATGGTGAATAAAATAAATACAAAATTACCTGTACTGTAGATAATGGCAGCCATTCAATATTTCTTTTATTTCTGTAATCCAGCTAAAAATGCTTTTTACTACATAAATTATGTAATAAAGAAACAAACAGTATAGATTTGCTAAATCTTTTTATAGACTTTAAGCTAGACGCCTTAAAATGATAAAAGCAGAACAGATTTTAAATTTCAAAAGTCAAGCTTTGATTAAATGTTTTAAAAGCTAAAGAAATGTTTAAATTGGATGAAGCTCTTCTTAAAATTAATGGTGGAATTTACTGTTTTTATCACCATAATTATTGCTAGCTGCAGTTAGTAAGAGGGTGCAACATATTTCAGGTGATTTGAATACCTCATTTGACTGAAATACAAAAAAATGTAACTTTTAAGTACACAAAAAGTGCTATTTAAAACACTCTCCAAATTTCATAAAAATTTACTATAACTACTGGAGTTGTTCTGCTTTTAGATAACCCTTTGCCTGCTTATTTTTTAAAATGGACTTGTCCAGCTTCCATTTTTGGAACTGTCCATTATCAATTTTTGGGATATCAGGATGATAAAAACATTATTGTTTAAGTAAGCCACCAGCAGTATAGATTCTGGTCAGACTGCATGGATGTCTTCAGGCTGGCCCAGGCTGACCTGACTCTATAATGGTGGCAATAAATTCCATCCACTTTCAGTTCCTGCAGGGTAAGAGTTAATATTTACCCATTTATGAAATAAAAAGCAAATGACAATGATAGTATATGATAGTATATACTAATCTATTTTAGTTCGCTTGTGTAGGAAGCTATATATAAGCTTATTGAAACACTCTCAATACCATTCCTGGAACCAACCAGTACAAAGCAATGAGTGTAAAGTTTCTTGCTCAAGGGCTTGCCCTGATGGGGTTGGAACCCAATAGGGTCAGCAATCCTTAGAATTACTATTCCAACATGTTAACCACTTGGCCACCACTGCCACAAACTGACAAATAATGGCATTTACCTGTGCAGTAAAATCCAAACTTTTCTTTAAAGAAACCAGCAGAATCAAAACTTGTAAAAAACTTGATAAGATCTGCCAGGTACAGTAGAGTTCATTTTATTTATGATTTCAAATTCTTATATTACATGTAAAAATTGATATTTTAATTTTCAATGCTAGGTTATTCATAAACAGTATTTTAATTTAGTGGTTTGAAAAACGGAACGTTGGTAATTAAAATATCAAGAGTTTTGTAACTTTGCCTCAGGTTATAAATTATTAATTACAAGTTTTGCATAATAAAATCCTTTGGGGTTTTTTAATTATTTAAACAGTGGGGCCCTTTTAAAGGGAAATTTAAAATTTGATACACAATTTTTTTAAAAAACAACCAATACAACTTAATGACAGGCTAATTGAGTTTCCCCCTTTTAGAATTTTATTTTGCCACTTAACCATTCAAATTAAATTGAATTAGCCTCTGTTAGTAACATAAATGTGGGTTCAAGTCAGTCTTGTACAAGAAAAAATTGTAAATTTATACTTGTTTACTTTTTATCATTTCCAAACAATTAAACACATATACATGATATCATATATTAGAATATTATGGTTTGAGCCTAAATTTTTATAATACATGCAATTGAATTTCAAGAAAATTGATCCAGAAATAGGTCATGTACTCATATATATGCATGTATGTTTTAAAGCTGCATGCCTCCAGATGAGTCAACATGATTCAAGAAAGTCAAACTTGAGAAAAATGTTCTAAGATGTTAAGAATAGTAAAATGATTCAAGATTCAAGTAATAAATAAAATGTTAGGAGCGATTAATGACTGATTTTGCATTATCTATTAACATAATTCTTTTGCGTGACCAAGACAGTAAGGGCTACTTGTGCATATTTTGACCACTTTTGGTAATGTACATGGTAAGTAAGTGTTGTGTGCTATGTGTAAATTACTTTTCTTGAATTATAATATCACAATATTTTATTTTTTAAATACTTTTTCAAAATTGTCATTAAAATAAACTGATTATGTCAAATCCTATACTGAAGGAAACAAAATAGATTAAACTGTTCACCTTCAAGAAATTTGCAGACTATCCATTGATTTTGTGATTGTATATATGTATGTATGAATGAATGTATTAATGTAATTGACTATGTACTTTGTATACGTCAAAATAAACTTTCTGTTTTGTTCATAAAAATTAGCATGAATATGGAGTGGAGACTTGCTCCTTTAATTATGATACATAGCATTGAAAAGATATTTTGAAATTATTAATATATTTTCTTTTACCATGACTTTAATAATTATTCATATAAGTATTGGCAAAAAAAATGGATAAACTGTTTTAATTGAGATATTTAGCTTATATATTGGCTGCAGTGCCATTTACAAATTCTACAGCATGCCAGTTCTATCTGATCCGGTGGGTGGTAGGGTGAGTAGGGGGGAAGGGTTTTTAAGTGATTGCTTTTGAAAGAAGAAAAAAAAAATCATTTAATTTGAAAAAGATGAGAAATAACTTTCATACCGTATTTGCTACAATTATTCAGCGACTAGGTAATTTGCATTAATTTGTAAAGATATGAATCTTAATATAACCAGTGTTTTGCAATGAGGATATTTGTTTCTTTTGATTAAATAAAGATAATATATAGATCACTGACATGTTAGAATGTTCTCACAAGCATACAAAACAAGTAAAATATAAAAAAACAAGGTAAAATATATTTCATATGATATTCATTCACACAAGTCAATGCAGGTTTGTTTAATATGCTATATATATTTGTGAGTAAATTATACAATGAGTGATATTAGTCATATAACTCACTACTGGAACTCTGTATTTTGTGGGTTAGTTAGATTGAAATAAATAGTGTTGATCACATACTTCAGTGTAAGATTTTGAACAATGTGTCTCAGTACATATATACAGTGAGTGATATTGGTTATATCCCATTCCATTTCACTTCTGAAACTCTGTATTTCAGTGTCTGAGAACATTGAATTTAATTCAAGTCTTTACACTTTCATGTAAGATTTTGAATAGTAATGATATTATATACAGTGAGTGATATAGGTTATATCTAACTCACTCGTGAAACTTTATATTTCATTCAGTACATTTGAATTAAATCAAGTCTTAACACTTTCATGTAAGATTTTGAATAGTTATAATATTATATACAGTGAGTGATATAGGTTATATCTAACTCACTCATTGAGTACATTGAAATTAAATGAAGTCCTAACACTTTCATGCAAAATTTAAATAATGAGTTATAATATTTGTATATACAGTGAGTGATACAGGCTATATTTCATTCACTTGTGAAACTTTATATTTTATTGAGTACTTTAAAATTAAATGAAATTCTATCACTTTTATGCAGGATTTTGAATAATGAGTGAGATACAGTGAGTGAGATAAGTTATATCTAACTCACTTGTGAATTTCATTGATTAGATTAAAATAAATAGTAATAAAACTTTAGTAAACAATTTTGAGCATTGAGAAATAGCTTCTGACTCTTTGTTGGTGTGAAGTGCTTTAACATAGCAAGTATAATGTGCTTATAAGAGTTTAACATTTTAAAACATTTTAATATCAAATAAACTATCACAAATAACAAGACAACCTCGTAATTTTTGGTACTTCAACTAAAATCACTTTAGACTATTATATGATAACATATCTAAACTGATAGATTGAATTACTGGGTAACTAGCTCTTAAAAAAGTAAATTGACCATTTTATTAGCTAAATGGTTTGATAATTTGATCTTATACTGTGGGCATAATCTGATACATGTATGCTAGGTACATGTACATAATTATAATGAAGGTCATTGAAAACACAACTTATACCGGCAGTTTGGTTTTTGTATTTATTTTCAGGTATCAAATTCAGAAAAAAAGTACATTGTACATCATTGTTACATTATTATTATTTTTATTATTTTTTTGTAGTTGTTAATCAATCCACCTATAAAAAATATTTAAAAAAAGAGCATGTATTGAAGGTAAAAAATCTTTAGAGCATTTTGCAATGATTGGATTTAATTAATATGATTATATGAACACGGGTTTTAAACTCTTGCAGGCAGTTTTATCTTTTACCACTCAATAATGTATTTACTATATCATTTACTTGAAAATTATGATTATATTTGTTAATAATCAACTTGACCAAAAGTTTAGTTTTTTAAAGTGGTCTTTAGTTAAATTAACATACATTTAACTTCTGAAATGAACCAGAATCAAAGATCTTGGGTTACCTTGCTTATAAATCATGGTTTCTTGTAGTTCAAGAAAATTTCAAAACAATATTGAATACTTTATAACATTTGATTGTATTGTAACAGTATTTCTTTTATCCACGCAGTCTCACAAAACTCTAATACTACTGGCTACTTAGTTTTAGTATTTTGATATCAAAGTATCCCTCAGGTTTCATACAGACATCCAATGCCAAAATTCAAGGACTTTTTAAGCACTATTTAAGCATATATAAACCACTTACTGTTACCTTAAACAAACATTTCATTGATTTTGATACTAAATTGGATCGTATTTTTTATTTTGTTTCAACTGTTGATTTTTTATCATTTACAAGCATATTTTCAGCAAATTTAAGCACTTTTTAAGCACTTTTCAAGCCAGTAATCAAATTCAAGGACTTTTAAGCACTATTTTACATTTTTAAGCACTTTTTAAGACAGAGACTAAAATTTAAGCACTTTTTACCCTATTAGACAATTAGACCTATGAGTTTAACTGAGGAAAGGGAGATTACTTGTTTAACAGGATAAAAGTGTTAAGTGTCATGACAATGCTCTTAACTGAAGTTTACATTTCAAACTTACTGACAATGGTTAATTGGACCGTTTACAGCTATGGAAAAGGGAGATAATTAGGGAACTTGCGCGAATGATAAATATATTCAGATAAACCTT